TTTTATTTAAAATTTTAAATAATTTAAAGTTTTTTCGATTTTTTATTAAAATAATTTTCGAAAAAATTATTAAATCATTAAATACGTTTATTTCGAAAAACAACTTACATTTAAAAAAAATATTAAAACTTAAAAGAAAAAACTTTAAAATGATATTAAAACGTATGGAAAAAAATTTAAAAAAAATGTTTAACTTTTAAATGTTAAAAATGTTAATTTATTATAAAAAAAATAACGATAACTTTTACGATTTAACCGAAAATAACTTTAACTTTAACTAGTTTTAACCAGTTTTAACCAGTTTTAATTAACCCGACGAAAAATTTTATATACAAAAAATTTAATTATATATAAAAATTTCGACCATTTTTACCTCGACCGTTTTAATTTAACTTAATTTACCCGAGTTAATTTAAAATTATTACATGTTATTATAAAATTTATTAACAATTACGTTATAATATAAAAAAAACGGATTAAAGGTAAAAAAAAAAAAATTATTAATGTTAAATTAATTAAATTATATATAATTACGTTATATAAAAAAAAAAAATTTTATTAATAATAAAATATTATTACATAAAAATAATTATGTGGTAACACGTGATTAATTTTTATATAAAAAAATTTTTTTTTTAAATAACATTTATATATATAATAATATAATTAAATTAATAACAATTATTATAATAATTTTATTTTATATTATGTTTTATTTTTTTATTAAATGTACATTACCATTTATACTTTATTATATTAACATTTAAAATAAAAATAAATTAAAAATATATATTTTATTATATAATTTTATTAATAACTTTTTATATTATATGTTTATTTATTTTATAAAACGTTTTTTTATAAAATACGTTTTATTTTATTAATTAAATTTTACACCGTTTATTTAATAATATTTTTATTTTATAACTTTTTATTTAATTTAATTAAATCGATTTAATTTAATTAATTAAATTAATTTAATTATATTGTTTTTATTTAATCGCATGTAATTATTTTAAAAAAAAGTTAAAAATAAAATTTTTTTAAATGATTTTTAATGTATATGTAAAATTTAAATGTTTAATTAATTAATTAATTAAAAAACGTGCATTTTAAAAAAATAAATATCGCGTAAAATTAATATAAAAAATACGTGTATATGTTAATAAAATTATATAAAAATACATGTAATGTTTATATAATTTTTATATAATTCCCGTTTATAATTAAATTATATAATTAAATTATGTAATTATTATTTAAATATAAAATTATAAAATATATATTTAAATAAAATAAGTTTTTTTCCCGTTTAAAATTATAAAATATTAAATTAATTAAATAAATTTATCGTTAATTACCCGTTTAAATTTAATTTATATATTTTTTTTTATTTTAACATAATATTTTATTTAATTAACCGTATTAATATATATTAAAAATAATTTTATAAATTATATAATATGTTTAAATTTATATAATTATACACGTGTTAAATATTATTTATTAAATTATTTTTTTATTTAAATTATAAAAAAAATTTAACATAATAATTTTTCGTAAATTTAAATATAATTAAAAATGATTTAATTAATAAAATCGTAATATTATAAATAAATAAATAATTATTTATAACGGGTTTTTTTTTAATTAAAATAAAAGTTTTACGTATAAATAAAAATATTTTATAAAATAATTAAAAATAAATAATATTAAAAATTAAATAATAAAATATAATAAATTTATAAAATTTAATTTAATTACCGTATATTTATTTTATTAAATACGGTTATAAAAAACATATTTTTAAATGTTATTAAATTAAAGTTTAAAATAATAAATGTTAAATAAATATAAAAGTTTAAATTAAAAATTTTATACATTTAATTTTAATAAACCATGTATAAATTAAAAAAAAAACCGCACGGTATTATTTTAATTATAATAATTAATGTTATTATAAATATAATGGTAAATTACTTAAACTTAACATATAGGCCACTATTTAAATTTTAGCTTAACAGGTAGTTAATACAGTGTTAATAAAAAAAAATAACGTTCGAATACGATGTTAAAGTCCTCCACATGTGCAAGACTTTTAGCCCGGACCTTCGTACAAAAAATGATATCAGTAAATAAAATATTAACTTTGCTTTCACTTTCAAGCTTATGGCTTATATCAAAGCTTTAATGGGTTTTACGACTTGTCCCTAAAACTTAACCATACATAAATTACCTACCTCTTAAATGAAAGTTTATTAATATGCAATAAGTGCAACCAGTAGGGGGTAAAATAAATACAAAACATTTGCAGAAAATCGTCACTCCCTTCGGCCATTTCAGGCAATCCGCAAGTGAGTTCAGTGGGGGTTAGCGCCTCTTATTAGCCATATATATGACTTTTCCAGGTTTCCGTCTGTGATTAACTACATTTAAGTTCAGACATGGTTACTCAAAGTAGGTACAAGTGTGGTCGAAGGTCGCCAAGGTGAGTCTAGATGTCTACTCCGCATCGTTTCCTGTCTACCCCGACAAAGACTAACTGCCTAGAGGAGGAGATCAACATCGTGTGTGGGGAGCCGACTGATAGGGCCGAGAACGGCGAGGGGAGCCTTCGCGACTCTCACAGTTTTCCGCCAGAGAAGGAAACCTGGATCCAGAAGAACAAGAAGGCCAAACGTATCGGCGAATGGCGTTAGACGCATCACACCGCCTATGCTGTTCGTGACACTACTCACATCTAACCTACAAGCTATCACGAGATTCGCCACACAGCGCTATGTACGAATCTCTTACGGGCCGCCAAGAGCGCATTGACTTTCTCAAACGGCACGGCATTGTTCGGCGCCGCCGAGATGCTTGGGAGATAATATGAATATCATAACTCCTGCACTTTCGACGCGTATATGTATCTGTAATAGGACAGTTATACGGAAGAAAGAAAAAACGTGCTTGGTAATTCCCCAAGTGCGAACTGACTACGGAGGAACCCCCGCTCATTCGGAAACCGGCCAAGGATCCGGACATACTCTTCAAGAAAGGCTCATCGTGTCAGCCAATTAGGTTTTATATAACCTTGAGGGGTTTACTCTGTAGCTAGTTCATACCCCAGGGGATACTAGCAATTAGGCGGAGTTAACCGGCTTTACCAGCATCGCGACCTATAGGTTTACATATCGGGGACGTAGGTAAGTAACGCCAGTAGAAAGAAAGGGGCCGGTGTTACAAAATCCCCATCAAATATATTAACTGAAGTGTAACTATTATCCCAGATTAGAATTACGGATATAAGATTACTTGTGACTATGAGGGTATGTGGGATACTAGTCTTTATTCGATATCCTAAAATTCCATACATAATGGTACGTTCTAGCTGAATAGACGTTAGATATTCTCTATAAGAGAGTATTGTGTGACTTTAAACGGTAGGAGGCTTATAAATATCCACGGTAACATCGCGAATCTCGACTCCCTGGTCTGTAATATTATGCGAGCCGCTAAACACACTATTCAGCCACTCCAATGCTCTGTCTTGACCATTTACGATCTCAGAAACATGACCACCGGCCGTGTTGCGCTCATATAGAATAGAGACGTTATACCGCTTATAGTGGGCGATGTGATCGTCCGTGTCAGAAATAGGGGTAAACTCGTCCCCGATTGCCTTATAAACGAAGAGCGGGATCTCCGGGGCACCATGGAAACCAAGGATCCACTCAACCTTTTTGATCCTACGCAAGGCTTCTGATTCCTCAAAGTCGGCCTGACCTCCAATAAAAAAGCCCCAGATATCCTGGCCGGCATATGCTTGGAAAGCCTGCACTGAATCCATCTCGCGGCCCTTAAGAAAAGCAGCGGCATTTTGCGGACCATCAGTCTTGAGGCGGCTACGGAGATATGTATCAACTTCGGGATATTCGTTCATAATACCTAGTAAAATCAAGACCAGGTTCCCCATAAAGGGCAGTTTGTTAGTGAAGCTAAACTCAGATCCTACATCGCTCACCAAACCACCTAACGCGGCACCCACGAAGCCGGTTGACAGTTCAGGGGCATATTGGACTTGCAGCTCAGCGGCCTTCTCGGAAGCGAGCGAGCCGCCACTATATCCCCACATCGCATACTTGAACTTGTCTGCGCTAGTAGGTAAGAGCAAAAATTCGGAATTGCCACACAGAGAAAGCACAGCGCGAATGCCATCGAGAGTAGCATGGCCGGCTTGGACGATGGCGCCGAAGGCAGCACGGGGTCCTTCGAAGTCGGGAACGGTAACAAACCAACCGCGACCCAGCATTGTATCAACATTTTCATGATTGGTGGGGATGCCGAACGTGTTCACGGGCGGTGGCTGGAAGATACGGTATGACGGTCCGAAATCGATACTCGGCGAGTTATACGCAAGCTGATGAGAAAGGAGGGCATTGAATCCGGATGGTGAGACAAAGGACTTCTTGGGGATAATCAGGGATCTAGTCAATGGTTAGGTGGTTAGATAGGTACCTAGATATTTCGACGAAGACTAATGGATTAAGTTATATTGAACAAGAGACTTGGGTTACTTACGTCACTGCCCAGGTTGGCTGGTATCGTGAGCCAGTGGTACGGTATAGAATATGAAAGGCTGCAGAGGCATTGCTGAAGACAGTCGGCCCACCCGGGACAGCTCGAACCCGGAGCACAGTTCCAGGGGTAGAAGCTTCGAAGTCGGGCGGGGCCGTATACCACGGATCCTGGCTCGGAAGAAGCAACCCGTCCGGGCCGCCGCCAGGGGTGGCTGTTGATAATACCATGCTGTGATCGTATTGCAATAAACCAGCCCTGCTAATCTGAGTTGAACAATATTTACTACAGAGAGCGTTACATTCATAGATGATTGATCATATCTTGTTGGTGGGGTACATATATGTAGGGGGTTCGGAGTTTATGGGAATCTCCGGACCCAACAGTATCTGGAAAGGAGAAGTAAACGGCCCGGTGCGCTGTCACGATGAGGCACAGCCATGGCGCTTTTCGGGCTTACATAAGTGAATAATGTATATATTTATTTCATATTCGGGCCCTCTTTCACTGATACACATGCGTTGAAAGGATTTAGGGTTTCCACTTACTTTCTATGTATGTGATTTTTCTTGTATTCAAGGTGTTTAATAAGCTCAATGAATAGGTAGTAACTGTCAACTCCGTGCGCGTGAAGGTTTCTCATATTTACTTAACGGCTATAGGCTTTAGACACTTGTTTATAAAGTTATAAGTTTCTTAACACAGAGTGATAGGAAATATTGAACAATTTAAACCTGCTTTACGAACGGCCCTTTCATATTTAAGATGGATACTAAATTAATCGAACTTGGAGACCATACTACTAACCAGTGCCATTTAACTTCCTTAAAGTATGGCATAGCTTCATAAGCCAAATTGTGTTTTTACACATAGGTAGTTACCAAGTCTTCTTCACTGACAATAATAGTTAAAATGGCGCTGGCGGGGCTTTCCTCCCTCCTATTATCGTTTCTACCCCGTAAGCCAATTCGAGCAGGGTTTGCTCCTGATATTCTAATCCGATTAACTCCATACCAACCGGAAGTCCGTTTTCTGTGAACCCAGCTGGCACTGAGATGGCCGGATGGCGTGTTACGCTGGCGAGATATGTATTGGTCGGGAAATCTTCCTCTCCATTCTTCATAAATCTGCCGTTTGTAGCATCTTCAAATCGCGGAGGGGGAACTCGAACATCTGGCAAAGTGAGCGCATCAAGACCGAGTAATGCAATGAGGCACTCCACTTTACGCTTGAATTCGTCACGTACCAGAATTCGATCGAGGTAAGTCGGATCACTTCTAGGATCCTCTGGGCCATGCGCTACGGCGCATAGCGTACTCATATAGGGGGTATCCGACTTTTCTGGAAGAATATCCGCAATGTCCTGTGGAAGATGTGGCTTCGTCGCCAAGAAGCTGTTGATATCGCTGCGTGACCTTTGGAGATATGTCAGCGGGTAAATCATGTAATGGTCCAGATTCTCGATATATACGTCGACAAAAGTTGTGCCGCTGCTCCGAAGTTTATCAATTGCTGCTAGGACCACTCTGTTCACTGCTTTGCAATATGGATCAGAGTCTGGGCCAAACTTTTGTCTGACAACCCCTATCTTCGCCTTTTTAATCTTCCCTACTCCGTCTCGAAGGAAAGCTGCGTAGCTACCGCCCTTTGGTAGGCCAAGGGCGGCCGCAGTGGCTGCGAAACCCGTAAAATCATCTCTGGGGTCGAATCCCACCATGCAATCTAACATAAGCGCGCAATCAGTAACTGTTCGCGCCATCGGCCCTGGTGTATCTTGCACTTTTATCAAGGGGCAGAAGCCTGTTCGCGAGATAAGGCCAGGTGTTGGACGAAGACCAACGATATTGCAGAAGGACGATGGGACCCTAATAGAGCCACCTGTGTCTTCTCCCACAGCTAAGATAGTGAAGTTTGCAGCCACAGCGGCACCAGAGCCTCCAGATGATGCTCCAACGTCGTAGCCAAGGTTATAAGGGTTCTTAGTGAACTCGTAATCTGTCGCGCCGTTCGCACTAAACCAAACCGTAGCCCATTCTGCGAGTGTAGTCTTGCCTAGAATCACTGCGCCAGCTTCCTTTAACTTAGTGACCACAAATGCGTCCTCATCGGGGATATTGTTCTTCGCAACAGCTGAACCATATGTGGTGACCATTCCTTTCGTATCCGCCTAGGGGAAACATTCTAATTAGCTCAATATCTCTTGACCTCTTGAGGATGTCCGTACCTGGTCTTTAACCAATACTGGAATTCCGTGAAGTCTTCCCTTTAACTTTCCATGCTCCTTGAAATAACAATCAAGAGCTTCCGCCTCTTCCAGTGCCGTGACAGACATGGCCATTGTCGAATTAATCCGAGGACCGGCCTTATCCCACTTTGCGATACGTTCAAGAAACGCGCTGGTGAGCTCCTTAGCGGTAAACTTACCACTCTTGAACCCATCTTGTGCTATTTTTATTGTGATCTCACGAACTTCGAGCATATCTACGCTTTTGGTATAAACTTTGAGTGACAATAAATTCAGTTTCTTCTAGTTGTATTGTGTAGATTGAGATGTCTTATCGACAAGTCTCCACGTCGCTTTTAGAGATATATCCGCCGACCAAATATAGGTAAGCAGTACTACATACGAGTACGAACAAGGTGAACTTGGACATGAATCACTTTTTCGAATCGAAGGTGTATTCAAGCAAAGTTATTACCTGGGTGTCTACTAGTAAGGTAATAATCAAAGTTTTCAATATGAATATTCTAGATTCTAGAAAGGATTATTAGACCATAGCTTTGTGGTTACTACATGTATTTTTGTGCCCAATACAAGCGAGTCGTTGATAAGAATATGATTTATAAAGGCGGGGGAGGAGAGGGGGGGATAGTAGAAAATATTCCACTGGTACACTGCAATCGTATGTGCGTGGATACTATACTTCTCCAAGCATGTTCTCCATCTCCAATTACTACATAGCATACCTCTTATCAGGCCAGTTATCACGGGTTGATTACAGTGGCATGTTGAGTGTTATCGTAACGTTTGTAAAGCGTTGAATGCGGATTCAGGGGTTAGATGGATCATTGAGCTTCAACTTCGAATAGTTCACAAAGCCTTTTCCCTTGCCGTTTTAGTCAACACCTTAGAATGTGATAATAATTGATATTTTATCTTTGGTAATAAAGGGAATTTGGTTAGAATATTTCGAAGCCACATCTAGAATTTCCTCGAAATAGGTATAGGTACCCAAAGCAAGAGAATATATTCGAGTAAAATTATAACGGCTCTATTACCTAAGGCACTATAGAATGTAGAGAACGAATTGGACCGATCATTCAGAGCTCATTTTCAATGATTATCAAATGTTCTACAGGGTTAAATAACTACCGAATGCTATAGATTTCGTTCCGGGGTTGCTCCCACCTATTCCCACATGTGTCCAGACTCCAGAGTCATTTTATCAATCATATAACAGCGCTTCAGGTTCGTATAACTCGAATATAATAAGTGCCCAGTCAGCAACTTGATTGAATAATATGACAATCCACGCCTTTGGCGCCGAAACCTACCTTATTTACACCTAGGTCGACTATTGTGCTAGGACAATTATCGGTGCTCCAAGTACTTACCTATACGACCCTGCAACGGGTTTAGGTCTTGCCCAATCGATATTCATATTTATTGGCGCTGCGCTTTAATTAAGGATTGATCCGGGATACTTCTAAAAGCACTCTAATTCTGTAGGAACATAAGTATTTTCAAACTTTCATAAAATTTCATAAATATTCTACCCTTTTTAATTTCAAGCCTCGAGATATCATTCTATTAGTTCGGACTAGGTAATCCTTTATCACTGGCCTTTTCCGAAAGGCGCGACAACTCGATAGATAGCGCTAATATATTACAAGTCAAGTTCACTATGTCTATTGGATGTCATGTGAAGACTGATCCTTCAAAGGTCAGCTTCTCAAGGGAAATTAATTTAAGGCTTGCAGAATAGAACACCTAGAACATTTGAGTGGCAAGATACGCGCATCAATGCAGTAGAAGTGATCAGGCCAAGTCCGCAGCTTCTAGGCTCATGGTGTTACCCTTCGGAGTAACCACAATATGCCATGCAGCCATGTCCGACGTGATAAAATGCATAGGTATGATTTATTGATTCTGTCCAAAGCCACATTCGGTTCTTAGCGTTCCAATAACATGTGGAGCACAAGCAAAAATTCGGAATGCAATATCTCCAACCATCTGATGTGTGATCTAGTATAACAGACCATATTCACACTCGAGATTGGAGAACCGACCCATCCTGTAACACGGCATCCAAGTCCTGAAGTGCGAGTTTGCTAGGAATATCATGGACTTGTTGTTTCTTGTTGTTTCTTGTTCGTATGACTATTGGATGGTTAGCAAGAGATTTGGATGGTCAATGGGTTTTCTGTTGGGTTGCCAAGAGGTGGATATGATGAATGTTTACATATTTTATTAAGAGTGATAAGGAATTGGACAACGTACGTATGCAGCTGCAATTGAGTACCTGTTAAGTACCCATATGACGATGATATATATTACTTCTATAGCAACACATGCTTAGACGAAGGTATATCGTCATTGTTAGGTGAGAATTTAATTGAAGTTAGATAGGTTAGAGGTCCTACTAAATCTTTTAACAACTAAGACACATCATCACATAGTAGTAAACTCTTGAATAGAGATGTCAAGCTCTAATTTGGATGGTCATAATGTACATAGGGGATCGCCGGAAATCGCCTCCCGCTAGACGAGTCTAGACAATTGCCTTAGAGAATCCGGGGTTCCCCAGATGATTAGTCGCCCGGTTAAATTATGCAATTGACGGTGCGCGGCTTGTTTGCGAGTTCGTCGTGCTTTCGCAAGCGACCGGTTTGTCCCGATCGTACGATCGTCAACTCATTGGCTCAAAAAACATACCATTTGCACCCACTTTCAATTATTATGCACTTCGGGATGCATTCGAGTGCATCAAAAAATGACTTTGAAACTCTCTGTAGTTTGCTTGTGAGACGAGAATGGCTCGGTGTCCATAGTTTGATCGATAAACTCTCTCAGACCATCTGTCGGCATGAACTGGGGATCTTGATCACTCGATCTAGATAGATCAGGTATATAATCAGATCAATCTAATCATGGATAGACTCTTTTTTTTTTCTTCTATCCAGCACATCTACCAACAAGCCAATATCTTCGATATATACCTTCAATAGTAATAGATATCAACAAGTATCACTACACACACAAAGCCAATCCCTAGAGATGGAGCATCAGACCAATTACACCACACAAACCAAACCCATCGATATTCCAGCGCCAAGCAAAAAGAACACATTACAAGACATTCAAACATTCTCATTTGAGGTCGGAAGCCCAGCCCTCAGCGATTGCGAATCAGCCTTAGACGAAGATGAGGACGCCTACGACATGTACCACATTCCCTCTCACCACCGGAGGAATGCGCTGAGCTTTGAGGACGGCTTCGAGTTTCCCGTCTTTCTCCACAGACGAATGTCGGCATAACTACAATCGACTCTGAGGTGATAGAACTCGGCGTTCCAGTTATGCCCGGTGCGCAGCAGAAGAGGACGTGTATACGCGCTCCTCGGCATCCATGCCGCCACAAGTGTTGTCAAACAGGCACCTGTGGAAACATCGCACGCGAATGGGTCGAACAGATTGAAGCGGGAGGGTATCAACACGATGCTATCGCAACACTGCGTCTCGGTTGTTGATAAGTCCTGGCTTTGGGATATAAAAAAACACGGATGGGGCGAATTATATCGCCGATTGAGATAGGAAAATGGGTTACTTAGATTACGGCGTTTTGAGGGGGGGGAACTTGGGAAGGCTATCTGATTAGGAATGTTCGGATACCCTTAGCGTTATCCTAGGACAACAGCTTCACTTTTGATTTTAAGGATGTATCTATTTAGTATTGCTTGCCCGTCTGGGGCAGCTTGTGTGAGTATGTGGATATATACTACCTCTGAGCGCAATAGCGAATGAAAAAATCATCAATTTAAACAATAACTTCATATTTTAAAAAAGGTTTACGGGTCATAATAGTTCATAACAGACTTCAAGATCATTCCATTATAAAAGACGACAAAGGCTGGAATGTTATCTCCTAGAGTCTCCGATTCTTATCTCCGTTCTAGTAACATGCAACTATTTCGGGGTTATCTAATATTATGCCCACTAATTCCGAATCCTCCACCGAATACATGTACTTCGTAAACCAAAACTAAGCTACAGGACTCTCGGAGATATGAATCGTTAGTAGAATACAAGCCCAAGAAGCACGTCAAAGACTATACAGCTAATTGAGCCCAAGACTTCTTAATTCGCAAGACGTATTTATTTTAACAGCCTATATCTCTGATTGCTATTACCTAGGTGTTAGCTATAAACTCCGTTAAGACCATCCAACACGACAGGTTATTCTGCATACTGAACTTCCTCAACTTCGCTAGGAATACGCTCATTGGGCAAAACAAATAGAAAGTTAAGAATATAAATAAGAAGCGAATTCGAGACGAGAGGCTACTGATAATAATTCTAAATAACTACCGTGAATTGATATCATATCGACTTTTTGAAAAGACTGACCCACTCAAAATTAACGTGATAGACGAATCCAACGCCAAAATGACTACTACAACCCATCCCGAATTCAATGATCATACAGAGGCATTGGATGTTGCGAAGGCCTTTGCTGTGGAGATTCGTGGTAAAACGGTACTCGTGACGGGTGTAAATGTTGCCGGTATTGGATTTACAACTGTGCAAGCTTTTGTAGGTATCCTTCTCGCTTGTCCCTTAATATTCTAACATATTATTATAGGCTTCTCAATCTCCAGCCCACATAATCCTCGCCAGCCGTACTCCATCCAAGATTCAAGAGTGCATCGACAAGCTCAAGGCTGAATTTCCTAATGTAGACTACCGCTCTCTTATTCTCGATCTTTCTACACAGAGAACTGTTAGGGCCGCTGCCGGCGAACTTCTATCATGGTCTGATATACCTACTATCGATATCATCGTCAATAGCGCCGCCATCTCTATTATTCCCGAACGCACGATCAACGAAGATAGACTTGAGATACAGTTTGCCACTAATCACATCGGACACTTTTTGTTCACTTGCTTGATCATGCCGAAACTTCTCAAGGCGGCAGAGCGCAGCCCAAAAGGGGCAACTCGGATCATCAACGTTTCTTCACTTTCTCCAGTATCCGCCCGTATGCGATGGAGTGATCTCAATTTCGAAAAGAAGAGCAAAGAACTCCCCGAAGACGAACAGCCCCCTTACGAGATGCACAAACGGTGGGGAGGGGTGGATATTGAAGACAAAGCATACCTGCCGCTTGAAGGTTACAATCAGGGCAAGGTTGCGAATGTACTATTCAGCATAGCATTGAACAAGAGGCTGTACGAGAAGTACGGAATCTTGAGTATATCCCTGCACCCCGGAGTAATAAGTACAGAGCTGGCCAGAGAAGCTACACAAAGCACGAGAGATCTAATCGACAGTTGGAAGAAAGGGGGGCAACTTTACTTCAAAACACGAGGAGCGGGATCAGCAACAAGCCTTGTTGCTGCATTGGATCCGAAACTGAGCCTTCCTGAGACCAAGGGCGATAAGGAAAACCACGGGGTTTACCTTATAGATTGCCAGATTTCCGATCGAGCGAACTCCTATTCAACCTCAAGCGAGGGGGCTGAAAGGCTATGGAAGCTATCCGAAGACTTGGTCAAAGAAAAGTTCGCTTGGTGAGGGAGTAACAGGGGGTTTGCGCTGTTGGATCTGCTGGTGAAGGTATTGGTACCTTCTACTGTTGGACATAGGATGTGGGACGAAGAAAAACTCCTCTCTCTAATAGCGCTCGGGATGCCATAGCTATTACTCTTATTCCCTAGAGAATACACTCCCTTCAAGACGCAAACATGTTTATAATTCGTAAATAAGTTTACGTAAACGGGCCTGATCGATACAGCACCCGAATCGAAAACGGTTAGCAGTTGCAAAGCTGAAAGTGCCCAAGCTGTCGTAAATGCAATATTGTAGTGAATAAAACTAACTTTCAATAACGTTGAGTAGGTTGTTAATTTCTACCTAAGGTAGTGAATACTGAGCTTTGTATCCAAATCTTCCATGTCAAAAGGCATATATACTAACACCATCCCTAAGACGGAGTCGTCTTGCGGCTTCACTCAGCTCTACTGTGCTTGACTAGAACTATCATATCATAGTGCTAATTATTCAACTGTAGTAACACGAATGGGGTTCATGGCCTAATGGTAAGGCGTCAGATTTCGGTTCCATCAATGGTCTTCCACTCTCTGAAGATTGCAGGTTCGATCCCTGCTGAGCTCGTTGCTACTTTTTTTCTCTTTTTTTCAACAGTTCACCTAGTCCAACTCGGGGTTTTAGTCCAGAATTATCAGACGCTAATGATTATCCGCACAGCGCGATACTCTAGTGGATATTCTGCCAAATTTGACCAACCAGCTAGCGCTAGCTCGTTGATTGTAATAAATCTTAGGGTTGGACGCGGTGGATCTCCTCTGTCAAGGACTATTTACTAGGTTTCAGTTTGATTGTTAACTTGACATATAGCGAACAATGTTCTAAGAGGCTAGGATAACGCAGTATCTTCCCATTAACTCAGTAGTTAAGCGGCAGTAGTACAGTTAGCTTGGCCATAGCCAATTCAGAAACCACTGGGTATGCTACTTCGGAGAGACTTTTAATCAGGTAGTTATGTAATTCAGTATTATGTTAGGTACCTAAAGTAGGATGAAGCCTTGAATACTAAAGTCGTAGCTCATGATACACCCTAGATAATCACGATATGAAATCTCCCACTATTAGGAGGCGTACATACCCCTAGAAAACCACTTCCTATCTCTAATATCTTCTGAGTTCTATGATGAAATGCGTTTAGTTAATAGATAGGTACGTAAACTATGTACGTCCGTATACGTACTCCAGTATAAAGCAGGCATTCAATAAGGAATAAAAAGTAACAAATCGTTAGCCCGGCCCTCAACTTTCTGCCTGATACAGTCCCGATTCTTTTGAGCCAGTGCGACTTCATGAACTCCAGCAACTTCGTTAAAATTACACGGACCTATGTGTAGCACATTATGTTCGGGCACCTTTCCATCGCTTGTCGGAATTAGGAGCGAAATCGACTCAGTGATACCCGGGTATTGGGTATGATGTCCTCTTTGGCTGACAGCCGCTGTATCGGCAACGAAGATGAGGCTAAATTGACCTCCATTTACAAATGCGCTGGTGTCTTTATCATCGGGGAGCGTAATGTATGCCAATCCAGTAGTGAAATAAACCCACCTAGCCAAGCAACTTGTATTAGTACCAGGTACCTAAACTGCCTATGTGACGCAGCTTTTGGAGTAGGAAAGGACTTACTGTACGTATGGCGCATTGTGTAAGCCGCCATCGTACTGGGGCGGGAGGATAGAGTAGGACACATTTGAGACATTGCCCAGAGTCGTCACAAGGCCTCCAGCTGTTCCGGGCTCGGAGGATGTTTTGAACGGTACGTTCATTTGCCAACATTCGAGTGTCGAGGAGCCGTCCCTTGCCCCGATTGCTGTTACATTAAGGTACAAAGAGGTGGCATCTCGCAATAATAAGGCGAACGCTAAACGAGAAATCAAATATCTCATTTCGGGCACAGTGCTCTTAGGGTCGGTGTTGAAGAGTTGGTGTTGACGGTTATGTTTATTTCTGAAGAGACTGATAACCCCCCGCCTTTTTATAGAAAGAGTCGAACAAGGAGAGGTATCCGAGGTGCATTTCGTTGGAGATGAGCGAGGTCAATACCGTGATAGGCGGTATGAGGGGGAGGGCGGAGGATTATTTCTTGCTGCTATACCAATTCGATGATTCGGTAGAGGGACGACATAAGTGTCTCAGCCAAAGCCGAAGCCCCTATCAAGTCTATTAGGATGATAGGCGCTATGGCTCTCATGATAGTATTCTGTACGACCTTCACGTTGGCAAGAATATGCATTAGGTCAGGTTGGTACTTTATGAACTAACATCCGGAGTAGTCTGATCAGCGTAAAAGGGGCGATGTTTCTTGGTTAGTTGGGTATCATTTGGCTTTGCGTATTACGGCTTTCGATAGCGGAACATGGAGGTAGCATTAGTATATAGGATGTTCGAGTAGTTGCATGAGTCGCTCGATTGTCTATTGCGGTGCTTTGACTGCTAGAGCAAGATCTATGCTGTTCTCATAAAGGATATCTGTTAATTTAATAAAAAGTAGAGGATTCTATAAAACCGATGGAGTGCATAAAAGTTACATAGCCATACCATACCTCCCTAGGTATTGGGCTTCAAGAGCATCGGGTTGCTCTGCACGCCGGCCATGTGTCCCGGATGAATCAGACCGATTTACCCTTGACGATGGCGGCCCACCAGCTGACACAACCACTGACACGCCCGAGTTATTATATGCGCCAGTGCTATTCCCTTTCGGTATATCTAGAGGTCCAGCATGGAATTGTGTGAAATCATCGGATCCTCTTCCAAAGGACCCATTAACACCCGTGATGCCGCCGTTGGCGAGATGCTTGAATTCGTTTAGAACGACAAATTCTATCTGTAGCTTGAAAGCGTAGATAAACGAGTGTATGACGGCCTTAAGCGTAAAGTAGTTACAGTAGTCGAGCACGATGACGGGTATGTCGGCCAGAACCACGGCTACCTGGACGATGATAAGAAATGCCAATGTGTTCTTGGCCTTAGCGTTAAGTGATAACTTGAACATCTGCATCGTTCCCCAGATATAGATGGAAGAGATGATAGCCTCCTGCACCGAGAATGCTAAGACCTGGACACGCTCCATCACATTCATGTAGGGAAGATATTTCTCATGCGTCGCTGCGTTCGACATGAAGTACTGAAATATGACGGTTGGCACGTGAAATAGGAACCCGTCGATTATAATCATGGCGAGTACGATACGCAGGATCGGTGTGCCTGGCGAAATCACGAGGTGTAGCCGGGACCACAGGACGATGCTAAAACCAGTCACCATCATGACCCAACCAACCTCGGCTAGCACATATGTCAATATCCAGTTCGCTTGCGGCACGCAGAACTTGAGTAGGAAACCGACGGCGCGGATCGTCAAACCCCACGTCGTAGCGAGGACGGACCAGAAATAAATCCCGCTCCATCGCTCAAAGGCATATAAGACCCAGGCGGTCAGCTCGACGGTCATCCAGATTGGGAGGGATGTGAAGACGGCGAGAAGACACCTATGATCCGTTAGCCCCTATCAAACAGCCATGTTGGTATATCTCATGGGTCTTGGGTACATACCAGACCGTCAGGTTCCAGGGCAGCGGGCCGGTGCGCGCGAACGACCAATCGAACTCGTCCAACGGTACCCATGGAACCGTAATATTTCGAACGCCAGACATGACTATGACCCGAGGATGCGGATAGGGGGAAACTCTAGAGATTTGCTGGCACTAGTTGCACATATGTATTGTTTACGCCAGAATAATTATTGTCATATTTCTTGTCTAGACTCGGCTCTGATATAATATAACAGCAACTCTACGACTAGGGTCAGCTTGTTATATATAACTTGAGCCACGGCGCAGAGATCTTACGGAATCTCTTTACGGTCTAGCTTGCACACCTTGTATTCGGTCAGACTACACCTGTACATAGATTACACATGTACATGACGAGGGTTCTGTCTCGCCTGTCAGTTTTCATATTCTCCTATCATCCTAGCGGCTTTTTCTTCGGCATTTATAGTTATATTTAGATAGGTATGTCAAAGTTCGGGGCAGGCCGATTAGGCGTTATATTGATGTGGGGGGTAGATATATGAATGCATTATTACCGGCCCATCAGTTGCAGATCGGGGGATAGGGGATAACAACCTGGTTTAGCCTCAAGGTGACATGCGCGGAAAGGCGGATATAGAGTTGAGATACGAATACCGACAGAATACTTGGTAAGGCTTCATCCTAGTAGTCCAATATTTCCGTCCGTTCTTACATGATATTTTTGGTTACCCTATTGGCGAATCCAACCGGAGCTCGCGTGGTTAAGACACACCTAAGGTTGTAGTCGTATCACGTAAGAACTTCGCACGAATGAAACAAACAGAAACTCGACTCCACGTAATCTGGAGCGCTTGGACAAGCACGCTTCGTGGGTCGTACGCTTATGTAGTGCCACAATCATATTCATACCTTGGTACCATATACATTAGACTGATATTCCAAGATACCCCCAATCTTCCACGTTTAGACAGACATTTTCATTCCTTACAACATTGTACAGCATATAAACCACATTGACGAAGTGATAATCGAGCATTTTTTTGACTTCTCGTATGAACAAAATCTAGAAATTAATAATATACAATGGTTTTTATCCGTGGAACCTGCCACCTAAGTTAATACTATGAAATATATAGTGACTATCCAATGCAATGTAAGTCCCTACTTCATCCGTCTAACTTAGCATCTCATTAATGTCCATGTGCGCCCCCGTTTCCATGACCTCGCCTAAACCACCTTCGTATCGCCGGCGTGATCGTCGGGTAGGCGTTCGTGGTCGTCCCACCTGTGCCGAGAGGAGCAGTACCCATAGAATACGTGCTGGCGATAAACGGTTCGGCTGTGCTTGTCACAGTGACTCGTGCAACTGTTTGAGTGACAGTCACGGTCGAGGGTTCACACACGCACGTGCCTGACTGCTCGGAAGATCGTGTCTGGAACACGGTACGAGTATCCGTGGTGGGGGAGGTTACCGTTGTTAGATCATTACCGACATGCGAGGACTCACCAGGTGCATTCTTGGGGACGGTCTGCGACGACGCTACCGGGTAGCTAACAGGAACGACCATCAGTTTACAAGTCCTCTGAAGGTTTGAATGAAAATTGCGCAAACGACCAAGAAAAAGCTAGACAGAGAGACTGACCTTGAGGCCGAGCTAACAGCAACCGGTACTGAGGTGGCGGCTGTTCCTACGGTGCTGGAGGCTTCGCTCATCTGATAGCTCGAAGCGTCGGCAGATGCTTGGGATGCTGTGTAGTAGCTAGTAGGAGTAGCCCCAGACGACACGGAAGCGGGGGCCTCGGGAGTGATCGTGTCGTACTCGATGACAGTCGTGAAGTAGTTACCGAGTGTCACGGTTGTGCCTGGTTTGGTTATATTAGGATACGTTCCAGGCGAACTCGACGCGATAGCATCAGTCCCTGCAGTGTTAGACGTGCCAATCGCTTGAGTTGGGTAATACGAAGTTGGCACAGGTGTATCAATAAAGGTGATAGTCGTTGTTACTACAATAACCGAACCGCTCACGGTATCACTGAACGTGATAGCAGCGGTTGTGTATTGGGATTCCACGGCAGAGGCGGTAGTTCCCGGCGTGTCTTTTGAATTGTCCGCCACAGGGCAGACCGTGGTAGACACAGCAACAACTTCCGTTGTCACTGCGCCCTTAGTAGGACAGTTAGTCACTCCCGGAGCGCAAGACGTGACAGTGTAAATATTCGTCGAGTATATAGTCGACGTTGTGTATGATGTAGGTTCTGTCTCAGATTGCACAGACGTTGCATAGGATGACGCAGCTTGACTAGTACTGGACTCAACCAGAATTCCAGACTCAGTAGACATCGAATAAGACGGTACGCCTTGGGTAGCACTTGACTGAACTGGGGCAGATACACTTGAGCTAGGAATAGCCCCAGCCGACGTAGAGTTTCTCATTGTAGCGTACGAGGAAATTGTCTGACCGGGCGTGGAAGTCTGTGTAGCAACCGGAAGTGCCGAAGAACTTCCGTCGATCGTGGTTTGCGACTCGGTAACAGGACATACAGTCGTATACAGCGAGATAAGATCCGTCGTGACCTGTCCTAGCTGAGCAGGACAGTTCGTAACGCCAGGCGCACAGGAAGTTATAGTATAAATATTTGTTGAGTAAACTGTCGAGGTAGTCATACTAGTTTCAGTGCTCAAAACCGGAATGGACGAAGCTGGATAGGTTTGAGATGATGCTTCGGAGATACTCCCAGGGGTAGATATTGTTGAGTTCTGGAAAATAATACTCGAACTAATTATCGAAGAACTAAATCCGACAGAGATTCCCGAACTAGCTGTAGGATAAATATTACTAGAGCCGAGCACCGGAGAACTTATTGTTGCTGAACTTATCACGCTGGTGGTGGGATAGAGGCTACTAGAACCGGATAACGACACCGATTCAACTGGGTTTGAGCTTGAAGAATTCACTGGATAAGCGGATGATGATGGTGGCGGCAAAGCGGTGGCCTCTGTCCCTTCTACTACACCATAAGTTATGCCATCGAGGATAGTTTCCGTGACTGGGCAAATGGTAGTGTACGCGGAGATGGTCTCGGTGGTGACTTGGCCTACCGGGCAGTTCGTTACAGAGGCAGCACATGAGGTGATAGTAACAACATTCGTTGAGTAGACCGTTGACAATATCGACTTGGTAATTTCACTGCTAACGCTGTACGTACTTGGTAATGTCTGCGAAAATAACGGGCCTCCAGAAGTTGGATAAGTAAAGTATGAAATGCCTGATTCGGTTGTAGGCAATACGGCTGACCCGCTTGAGATCGTCGCATATGAGCTACCTACGGAGGAGACAGTTGCGGACGAGATGGTTGCTGATGATACGGTCGCAGATGAGCTGGGCTGCGTCTCGACACTAGTATCGCTAAGAGTGCTAGATGCAATTGGTTGAGACCCTTCTGACTGGCTGACAGGGTATATCGTTGTCGACACTGAGACCGACTCTGTAGTAACCTTCCCGACAGGGCAATTAGTTACTGTCGGCGCACAGGACGTGACAGTGTAAACGGTCGACGAATATATTGTAGAAATAGTGTTGTTACTTCCGCCTATCACGCTCGAGGAGGCACTTCCAAACGATTCGGAATAAGAGACGACAGTGCCGCTAACTATGCTCGAAGTGGCAGGTTGTGTTACTGAAGAGAGTGAACCCGAAGTGGATGAAACCGAAGCGGATGAGGCCGAAGGGGATGAAGCCAGATAGCTAGAACCGGATGCCTGCGAGCTTAAAGAAGCACTAGAGCTGGCCGCGTCAACGCTTGAGCTAGCAACCTGGGCAGAACTCGATTCAATCAGCTCAGTGGTAGAAGTAGACTCTGTAACTACACTGGAGTCGGTCTGAGTCAACACGCTACTGGTAGTAGTGCCCAAGAATAGTGAGCTTAGACTACTTAAGATTCCACTACTAGTAGTCGGTGAGCTCACTGGATACCCTCCGGGGGCCGTTGCAACTGATGTCTGTGTCGATACAGTCCCAGATTCGGTTAGCGGTTGGGTAGGATATCCATCAACCGTCGACGAGGACGGTACCCCAACAGAGGAAAGACTCAAGCTGCTAGCCGACGATACACTTTCCGACGACACGCTTGCTGATGATACGCTTGCGGACGGTACGCTTAAGGCGGGATACGTCTCGAAAGTCTCGGCGAGTGAGGAAGCAGACGAAGAGACCACAACAGATGACGACCCGGCCGGGGACGTGGGATAACCGGATGCAACAGAACTCGATGATTGGATGCTGGAGGTCCCCACCTCACTTGTAGGATATCCTGCCGACGAAGAAATTGATTGATCACTAGCTGAAGGTAAGCCAGCCGAGTACGTAGGATATCCGACAGGAGAAGAGGTAGGCAAGTCATCGCTGCTAGACAGCAAAGTAGTCGGATACGTATCGAGGGACTGGGAAGAAGAAGAAGTAGGTAACTGGCTAGTAGAAGGCGAGCTCGCATCATATGTAGGATAATTGGCAGGAGTAGAGGACGCTACTTCGCTGGCCACCGATTCTGGCGAACTGACAGGATAGTTATTCGCAGCAGGGTCCCTCTTAGCCATTCTCACGAGTTCAGGGTTACAGCCGTTTTCTATCTTCTCGATGGAAGCTTGCTTCCCACTCTGTAAGTCGTTAGTAAGACTGTCGTAGCCTATAAGTAATTGACATACATACCTTATCCTTATATCTGTACTGGCAGGCGGGGTATTTGTTTGTAATATTTACACTCTTCACATACATAGTATAAGGAGCGCCTTTCATGTCGACCTCACCTCCGGCCCATTGAATAGTCCAGTGATTGTTGCTAGGATCTCCACCTCCCCATACACCAAGTTGAAGCTTCATCGGAGACTGGGGAAAGGCGAAGCCTTTAGGAGTATCCTTGGCTAGAACACTCCGGACGACCTTATCATCCACATACCAGTTCATGTGGTCCTCATCCCACTCCACCGAATACTTATGGAACTGCTCTGCTGGCTTGTATGAATCTTTCTGGTAAGTAGCTGCACCGTCCCACATCTTTCCCTGCGTAAAGATGTTGGTCTCAAAAGCCCACATCCCATCCCGAGGCGGGAAAGGCGTCTGGCCAAACTGATTACCCGAGAATTCGAAATCGATTTCATCCTGAGTGTCTGACCATAGAGCCGCGCTGCTAATCACTCCCTGGCCCGGAGCAATTTTCATCTCGACATCATATCGGCCGCCAAGCATGTAGAAATCGGTCCACATATTCGGTGCATCCCCCCTTTTTGCATATGACAACTCGGCTCCGTTGGAAGTGAAGTTGACGACCTCGGAGTTCGCAACCGTCCAGTCCGAAGGGGGACCCTTTTGCTTGGTGAAATCAATATAGTAATTCTCCTGCGGCCAAGACTTCTTTGATGGGCAATCCGTGTGGAGCGGATTGCAATCGGGTTGAAGCTGGCCATTGGCAAATTGAGCTGTCAAGCCCAATGCTGTAAGGAAGCCAATAATTCCTCTCTTTGACATTATGATGACCTTGAAAATGGTCTATAGTAATTTTAGAATTTTAGAATTAGATAAATGGTTAGTAGGAAAAGAATATCTCCACAAGCGTTAACTGCGAGGATTCCGCGCTGCCTATATTAGTACTCGGAGAATAAAGCATCATTGTTGTTTACTCATTGCCATCCAAGCAACAATGCCAAAGCAGAGATTAAAAGGGACCTGGACCGGCTTCCTATTCCGGGGGACAATCCCCCTTATTCCGTGCTTAACGGATAATCCGCTCGTTATCAACTCGGAACACTTCCTTTCGCCATACTTTGAAGGAAGTTCAGTGGTGGCCACAACCGCAGCAACAATGAAACCTACTCTTGTAAGCCGTATAAATGTACTAGCCCTTTGAAGGCTATGGAGCCTTTCATACGCAACAAAAAGTTGAAACTGCCTAACAACCTCGCTTCGTTAAAGTCATTGTTGGGTGATTATTGACAGCGACAAGAGCTCGTCGCCCTTGCTTCATCATATCCTCGAGCATCCCCGCGGGTGAGATTCATACTGATACTGATACTGTCACGAATCAGAGTATTCTGCTCTGTCGTTTGTAAGATGTATAAGGGGGGATGACATATAGAATCAAAGGTCTTTTTATGTACCTATCTTGATTGCGCAGTATATGTATAACTAGCCAAAGGGAGAGAAGCTATTTACCTGAATAAGAGATATATCTACCTTATAAGCAGCCAAGCCGAACGATAAATATGTATTTAAAATCTTTCTTCAGGTGAGGCACGTGCCTAGTAATAATTGGTAAGTAACTGCCACAGTACGAAGTACAGTACTACGTAATGAGGTACCGGTACCTAGGTCATGTAGGCGGGGACAATGTCTTACCAATACCGTAATTGTCCGATGCAAGGCAACCAGGTCGCCAAGCTTTCGGGTGGGCCACCCTGGCATAGGCCAGCCCGCTTCAGCAGAGAACCTTCTTTAATTCTCACGTCAAAAGTTCAGGTTATCGATAGAAGTGGATACGGTTCTTAGGTAAACAGTTGGAAAAGCCGATTCCGCCTCATACCTAATTTGTACTTGCACCTGCACCTGCACCTGCAACTGCACCTGTCACTCTAGGACTCCGGGGGGCTCACCTACTGAATAATCAATCAGTCCATCTTTTTTTCTGCTTGTCCTCGTTGCCTAGTTACACCCTCTTTTCCGCCTTCTTTGAACTTGATTGCGTACCTACCTACATATCATATGCCCACATTCATTTGTGCATTGCGTTAGTTCTCATGGCCTAGTCACTCACTCGCATTCGCATTCGCATTTTATATACATATATGCGTAGACGCCTAGACTCAGTATCTTCAGATCGTTATTCTTCGACCAGTATTCCTTTAGATTATCCCCGCTCATAACAACGCCCGAGCCTGCGCCACCGTTTAGAAGCTATGGGCATCTTCAATCAGAAATCCCGGCTGAAGGCCGCGCCTCAGGAGATCCGCGTAGAAAAAGTCGTCGTTCCCACCAAGCCGCGGCCCAGCCTGACCGTGAATCCTCCCCGCGGGTCTTCAAGCCATTACTCCGCGTCTCCCCGCCTCTCGCCAAATCCGCGCCTCTCACGACCCAAAAGCGCGTCGCCGTATCCTTCCTCTTCTGACGAGAGGCGTGCTATTATAAGGAAGCGCAAAGCTGTAGCCAGCACCCCACGAGACTCCCCCGCCTTCGGAAACGATTCGGAGTCGGAAGATGATGATAGCGATCCTTTCCGAAAGCGACTGCGACGTAGCGAATCAAGGTCGGTGGATCTAAATCGCAAGCTGCGCCATAAGAAGGCATTCGGCGATGAGATCAGAGACCCACGCATCATCCATGCGGCGGATATCGCCTCGGTCGCCACAAAGTGTCCGCCAATTCAGGGCGCGAAACCGGAAGAAGTTGCGATAGAGCTACAATATCCGTCTCGGTGTAAGCGCGAGAGGTAAGGGTACCAACTCCAAAGGCATTACAGGGCGCACTAACATAAGACAAGATACGAGCTAGTATGGCAGAAAGATAAGATCGACGCTGTTAAAGACATTCTTTTAGTCGTGGAGCACGTGGCCGAGACATATCTCACCGATGACGAAGCGAAGCCTTTCATCGACCACAACGCAAGCTTCAGAAGACAGATGGAACGCGCAATAAGCGAGAAGTATAGAGATGTGCCAGTATTCAGAGCAGCACTTAAAAGCTACAACGACAAACTATTAGAATTGGTAGAGAATGGTACGATAGCGAAGAACATAGAACAACAGCACCATCTTCCGCCCAGTCTGGTGTCGTTCATCCTCACACAAGTATACGATCGCACGGTTGCGCCGAAGGTAGAGATGCTCACAAAATACGAGATGGGAAGCGACAACGTCTACGGAGAGCTGCTGCACCCTTTCATCACGAAGCTGCTCGTCGAGCAGACGAAAATGACTTCCGACCAGGTTTTCATAGACCTTGGTTCTGGGGTAGGTAACGTCGTACTTCAAGCGGCCCTTGAAATAGGCTGTCGGAGTTACGGCTGCGAGATGATGGAGAATGCCTGCAATCTCGCCGAGGCTCAGGAGAAGGAGTTCAGATCCAGATGTCACCTTTGGGGCGTCGCGCATGGGCGGGTCCATCTTGAGAGAGGTGACTTCCGCACCAACGCTAAGATCTTGGAGAAGTTAAAGGAGGCGGACGTAATACTCGTCAATAACAAAGCCTTCACTTCCACTCTTAACGATGCCCTTATTAACATGTTTTTGGATTTGAAGAAGGGCTGCAAGATCATATCGCTAAAGTCCTTCGTCCACGAAAACAAAACCGCTATTAACGATGTCGCAAACAGTATCCTTGACGTCCAGCATTACCGCTACCACGAGAACTGGGTCAGTTGGGCCGCTGCGGAAGGCGACTACTATATCTCCATCAGGAAATAATGATGCCGACCAGTCTATAGGGGAAAGAGAAGTCAGCAATGATTTCCATGTATAGAATTTAGAGAACGGGTAGGTGAGAGCGCGCGTTAGGATACCACATTCGCATAGATAAGCATGATTCGAAGGATACCAAGGGATGCGATCAAATGGTAAGGACTTACAATACCGCTATTAGGTTATATAAATAGAACACATCAATACAATAAAGCTCGATAGCATCCGCGAGCGGTATGCTGGTTTTTCACCTCACCTACGATTCTTACTGCTTGGTGATTCGTTTTCCAGGTTCATGGCGTCTGCCTCGTGCTTCATCCGATCCATCCACCTCTTAATTAGGTCCTTATTGTCGGCTGCGATCTTGGCTGCTTTCTGCTCGGTGACGTCGAGTTGTATGTTTAAAGTCAGGTTCTCATCCTGAATATCCTGTTGCTACGCATTAGTCCCAGCCCAGTATACCCATATCTACACCATCGTTTATTCGTACCTTGAGCATCTTGTTCTTGCCGGCTAGCTCTTCGTTGCGGTCCTTAAGTTTCGCCGTGAGTGCGTTACGCTCTGCGGTCAGATCGTTAATACGCTTAGTATCGACTTTCGCTTTTGACCGCAGCTTCTGGAGTTCGTCTTCGGCGGCTTTTAGTCTGCTCTGCAGCTGGCCTTTGGACCGGAGCGTTTCTGCTAAGTCCAGCCGAAGTTGGGCGACGTTCTGATCCGCACTACTATCCGTCGTACCAGTTGTCGCAATGCGTTTTCCCGACGAGTTTTCTGGCGATGTTGGGGGGTTCGTTGAGGTTTGCCAGACTACCTTCTCGGCTTCGAGGGCGGCTACGCGATCGGCGAGTTGGGAGCCTAGAAATGAGATTTATTAGGAATGGTCGGCTGGGGAGTGGAATACAAGAAAGAGTGTGGAACAAAAGCTTAGGTACTCACAAGCCTCGACGAGGTCCTTGTTCACGGGATTGTTCCGCTCTGCTTCTTGCAGGGAAGTAAGATATTCAGATCTCCAGTCAGTCATGGTGGTCGAATTCTACATAATAGTATCATCTGGGATATTGAAAGAATGTGTAGTTATAGAAGCCGAGTCTATTTATTTCTATGTACAAGGTGAAGTTGCTTATTCTGCTCAGTGCTCAATGATAGGCTTTTGGGCAGTTAAGGGCAGGAGGGGTACCTCTACATAAGCTTCACAGGGTCCACAAATACCCGCCAATTAGTGCCAATAAGTTCATATCTATTACATATTCTCAGATCTGAGATATTATTCATATTCACTCTATTGGTTCAACCATTTTCATACCTGCGAACGGGATAATTCAACTACATCATCAGGATGATGAGTATCAAAGAATTGCTACATATCCAATCTTTATACCAGGGAACCACTGACCCTCACTCTCCCATTTCTCCTCATAGCTATTAACAATTATGAGACTCCAAAGATGAAAACTCCTATACTTCTTGAGAACCCAACCTATAACTTATAAGTACCTAGGTAACTTAGTCACTCATCCCATATAACATGCGATATGCCCCGGCCGTCAGGCAACGTATCATCCGTAGTCCAAGTCACCAGCGGCCACTGATCATCTATAACACCCGTCCCGGGATCCCTCGAGAACACAACCAGCCGCCCCGGAACGCTATGTTGATTCCCAGCCGCAAACAGCGTCCCGTCCTTGCTAATAGCAAACGACCGCGGCCAGAGACCTCCCGACGCCGTAAGCCCCACGAGCGCCAGACCACCGGTCTCAAGATCAGCGCTATACGATGCGATAGTGTCACTACGCTCGCCACGGTACATGCTTCGGCCTTCATCGCGCGTAGAAAGCACGATATGTCTACCATCTTCCGCCGCCGCGATCTCCGCTGGTATCGCAACTCCTGCGGCATCGCTAAAACCGGTCTGGTATGCGCTGTCCTTGTAGAACTGCTTGAAACCCAGGGTCCCGTCTTTTCCGTACACTACCTCGAACCCGTGCAACGAATTGGTAAGCTCGCCCAGCACGTAGAAGAACGTCTTACTACTACCTTTAACAAAGACGCCGTGGCGCGGCCCGTTCCCGGGATCGATATAGTGCGCGCCTAATTCAACTAACCGATCATCCCATCCTACCGCGTATGTCCGCAGGGCATCTGCGCCGCGGTCGAGCACCACTACGAATTTTCCGGTAGGGTCGGCGACGATGCCGTGGGGATACGGTTTATCTTGCAGCGTCAAGTTAGGGCCAGGTTTGTCCATGAAGTAGTGGAAGCTCTGAAGCTCGACCAAGTTACTAGGATCCGAGGTATCAACCTAATGTATGGAAACATTTCGTGTCAGCTTCGCAATACTATAATTCTAGAATATTCGCCGTTATTTTTCGATTGAATAGAAATGATAGGGTCATCACACTTACTACTAAGCGTTAGCCACTGTATACCTTACGAAGGCAGTTTCAAGACCATTCTAGAAAGGGGGTTTCAAAATAACAACACGAGATGTTTTCATACATACCGACGGAGACCGCACCTCCCGAGTAGTGAGCCAACCCTAAGCGATTGGGAGCATAAAATGCCGACTGCACTGGACCATAATCGGTAGTGATGTTGCCCAGTATTGAAAGAGACTCTTTGGAGAATGACGCCACCGAGCCAGCGTTGGTGATTGTATAAGCTTCATTTGCGCAGAACAGCGTGCCTGTTACTGGATCAAGTTCCAACCATCCCGGATTACGACCACATTCCAACGTCGAGCCGACCTCCCGTAATGAATAGCTCCCGTCGACATTGCTAGTAAAGGCCAGGCGATATACGGGCCCAGCGTAACTAGCCACATAGATGTCCCTCGCAGCAGCGATGCTGACGCCAGCGGATACCGTTGCGGAAAGAAGATCATACTTCATGGCCGTTCCGTAATACTCGAGGCGAGGAAAGTAAATAATCGCCGGAAACGACACGAATAAATAAGCTGCCTGTCTTTGTAAATAAGAGCAACCTTTATATATCAATACTAGGTTATGTTAGATTTTGAAAATGACCAAGACCATAAGAATATGATTTTTCGTGATGAGTATCACACCGCTTTTCACTTAGCATCTTACATAGATACTGTAGCGGGATTATGGAAGGTAATTATGACTGTTAAAGTTCCATAGGAATAACCACATTGACGCACAGCCATTTATTCAAGTACCTGAGCGTTATCTCGCCTATCCCTATAGGAAAGAGACATCTAACTCAGAGAGGGATATACCACAACAATTCTCCAATGCATCACCCCTTCACACAAAGACATAACATTTGTATTTTCTAACCTTATTAACCTCTGCTTGCTGGCCGCCCTCAACATGTTACTCCATATGCAGTTTGGCTTAACGGGTTCTCTTGGGCAGATTCTTTCTTCGTGACTTAGGTGACCAGTATAATCGTTTCCTCCATAGGTCATACATATACCGAGCCCCTGACAAAGGAGATCCTCCATTGGTACAAGATTGCCAATCTGAAATCGAAACGCGCTCTTAGCGCAATCTTCGATTTTCCTCATTCATTCATTCCTTTAAACAGTTCCTCCTTGCTTATAGCCCGTCATTTCTAGGCATATAAAAGCTCCAACCCCTCCTATTTCCTCTTCGGAGTACTTTCCTCAACCGTAACAGAGTGCAGCATAAGCTTCGTCTGGATCTCCTGGCTATTCGCGGCACACCCCTTACTCCAATCATACCCGAGCGCGTACGCAAAGAAGCTACCGTTGTGATTAAACGCTGTCGTTGTAATGGGACTGCCGGTCGATGGGTACGCCCGTAGCCGAGAGTGCGCGATGCGGTCCCAGAAGTTGAACACGCCATCGGAGCCAGCCGTGACTAAGACCGTATGCTGGACTGGGTGGAATCGCACGTCATTGATGGTCCATACCTTCGAAATTTTCGTCTCGGGGTCAGGCGAGTCACGGTGGCAGCGAAATGCAAAGTCGACTTTGCTATATTGATTCAATGTCAGTAAACGTTCATTACGATAATTCCGGTGCTCAGTGACACGCGCGAAAGGTCAGATAAGAAAAGGATCATAATACCTATCTTTGTCCACGGCGTTAAAACTACAGCGTCCCTCAATGCTTGCTGTGGCCCAACCCTTGCCGTCTGGGAACACGTCGACGGCCTTGGTCTGATGCTTGAGCGGCGATTTCAGAGTTCGGGAAATGACAGTCGGGTTTCGAAGGTCGATGAGATGGATATGGCGCTCTGCGGTAGCAACCACCAAAAGAAGAGACTTGGAATCCATCGAGTAGACGCGGTCCTCGCACATGATGGTAGCGAACGGACTCTGTTGACGAAGATCCCATAACTTGACTGTCTTGTCCCAGGACCCGGACGCCACAATGTGGGCGTTCGATCCCGGAACTTCGACGAAACGCACGCTTCGAATGGGCTTGTCGTGCGAGCTGAGAGTAGCCTGCTGGCCTGTCGGTAGATGCAGAATATGAAGCGACTTATCAGCTCCTCCAGCGGCGATTATCGTCCCGTCCTGATTTCCCACATCAATACCCACCCCATCCATCCCAGCCTATATCGCATCATTCCCACTTACCTATTTTGATTCCCATATTGGTTTTACTTTTCTTTTTTTACGCTGTAGGGTTAGAAGAAACTCAAAAACTTACCTTGGCCCAGTCGCAGCCTAGGACAGGGCCGACCGCGTTGAACACGGCTGTTCCTTTCGCGGTTCTGCTGTTGGCGTTGACGTCGTAGACACGTATTTTGCCATCCCAGGATGCTGCTGCCAGATAGTTGGCAACAGGCGACCATGAGACGGACGAGATGGTGTCTTGAGCGTCGTCTGGTAGGCTGACATCATTGGATAGAGAACCCATACTAGAAGTAGGAAGAGTCTTAGGAGTTCTCTTAGTGAGCGACATCTCGAAGAATAATGTTGATGACGCGACAAATTTAAATTATATATGAGAGTATAAAAGGACGAGATGGTCAGGCTGAAGTGCTTATGACTGGTATTTATAAGCACGATCTTTGTCTACAAATAGGTAACAGTATGTATGTAAGTACATATCTGTATATCTGTATGCAGAAATCCTTGTTATTTTTAGCCTTGTCAGGTTACAGGTATTCGGTATACTGTACTCAATGGAAGGAACAAGGCAGCTACACCTTAGAAATAAGGTTAGGTAAGCTCTCAAGTAATTGCATCAGGTGCAGGTGTGATTCGTGAATATAAATAGGTACCTTAGGTATGTACATGCCTAAATTAATAAAATTGAAGACTACAACTTGACACTCTTGACCAAGCCCGGCTTGATACCGGTAAGCTCGCCTCCGTATCCACCACGGCCTTCGCCGCCCCCGTATACTGGTTTTATGCTCTTCAACTTCTTTTGTTTCTCTGCATATGCCTTTCGCTTCTTTACTCTCGGGTTCCTCACGTCCTTCTTACGTCTCGGCGCAAGTCCCTTGTTCTTTTGTATCTGATAAGTAATCTTGCGCTTTCCATCCTCGCCGATCTCCTCCGTCTCCACGATGCGATCATTCTTGCTAGCCGCTGCGAGAGCTGCTGCTCGGGCCGCTTTATCTCCTTTCTTCTTGCTTGTTGCTGCAGCAATCATATCGTAGTAGTCGTCCTCGTCATCTCTAACCGCAGTAGCAACTCGCTCGTCCTCCTCATCGCTAGCATCTCCGAGATCAGCACCCATCTTTGAGCTCTTCTGACCACGCTTCTCTGCTTCGGCGTTGAGGCGCGCTTGTCTATCCTTCAGGCGTTCCCTGTAAGGAATATCCATGTCACCGCCTGCGTCCCTGCCTCCGGCTGCCCGTCGGTTGGCTTTCTGTACGATCTGCGAAGTGTAGAACCTAAGACTCTTCTTCCGAACTGCTTTTTCAGCAGCCGATTTGGCATCAAGAGTCTCCTCTTCACCGAAATCTGAGTCACTGTCTCTTGCCGCAATATCAACGGTTGACTTCTTCGGTTTCTTCTTAGTAGCAACGAGCGCATCGAGATCAGCAAGTGACTCTTCAATGGCCTTCGCTTTCTTCTTTTCCGCCTTTGCCTTGACCTTGGCATCTTTGCTTAATTTCTTCGAAGGCTTCGTTTCCACTTGTATTTTCTCCTCGATAGCTGGTAGCCCCTCTTCCGGTGGTGATGGTATGCTGTCAGTTACGTGTGTATGATCCGATATCTTCAGGTGCTCTACTTTCTTCCATGCATCTCGGCACTCTAGCAGAGTTCCCATCACTTCGTGATCACGTAGTTCTGCGGGGTCCAGCGCTTTTGCAGCTCCGTTGGCAGCATCTCTAGCTGGTGATGCTAAGGTAGCGAAGTACATAGCAAGCGTGGCGACGTAGCAGCCTAGGATTCGGTATTTGACTACCGGTAACGACTTAGGCGGCTGCGCTTCTGCCTGTTTTTGTATAGTCACAAGTAGAGGTTGAAGTTGCTGGAGCTCATCTGCTAAGTAATCGAACTCGGGGTATCTTGTCCGTAGAATTCGGTATCTTTCCTCGGGGCTCGTATCAGCGGGAATCTCGACATCCTTCAAGACTTCAGTAACAACGTCATTTTGATCCGCGTCCTCGCCCTCGGGAGCGAGCCACTCGGTTTCATCGAAAATGAAGTCGCTCTCGGACATCTTTGCCAGTTTTTTCTTCTGCAGTCGCCGGGCCTCCTGCTCCTCCTCCAAAGCGTCGGCCTCCGTCTCGGGATTGTCGGCGTTGTAGTATTCTTTCCTCGACGAACCCCACCAACCGGAATCACCTTCCTCTTGTCCAGATTCAGATCCATTATCAGGCTTTCCCTTAGTGGATTTCGTAGGTTTACGAGCGTATCCGTCTTGGTCGTCGCCGTCCTCATCATCATCATCGGAGTCCTCGTCATCATAGGCAAGAGCCTCTTCGTCAGAATTCTCCAAGAATTCTTCTTCCTCTTCTTGCCGCTTCTGCTTCTTGGACTTTCGGTCATCCTCAAAAAGAATTTGGTCCTTGTTCATGAAGTGTTCCTCCTCTGAGTCGGCTATATCTTCAAAGGTGTTGATAGGACCCAATCTCGCATCAGCAGGGTCATATTCGCGAGGACCCTTTGGCTCCGAAGGGCCACTAGATGCCTTTCTCTTCTTCCCCATTTTGACAATGCGAAAATATATAAGTATAAGCTGGCGTGAGTAGTCGCAAGCTTAGGTAGCTATGAACTTTTTAGTGTTCGCGGTTAGAACTTTTTTTTTCTTTTCCCCACGCCAAAATACTAAGCTCGATCTCTTATCGTTATCAATGGCTGCTCCACAAGGAAGCACCGCAAGTGGGACATTAAAGTTAAGAAATTCCACTTATTATGCACAATAGCGGAGTGCATAAATAGTCCCCTGCTTCCATTTTGAAGTTACATATCCTCGAAAAAGGGCCATGATAGCTTCAGCTAATCCTACACTACTCTTCCTCATTTCACACTTCGCACGTACACGATGCAGTAATTGCAGTCCACCAATACCCTACTTATATGTACTCTTCCAAGGTTCCGATTGTCGCATAGAATTTCCTATCTCTCCAATAGACTTGATCTTCGGTTGTTTATAAATTGACAGTTCAATCGTCCTTCTATAATTGTAATACTCGCTACTTCCGTGATGGGGATCTCTTGGAGCAATCAAATGCCCGTGGAGGGCAAGGTATGTCAAGTCAACAGGATCACACGAATTGACTCTTTTTTGGGCATATCTAACAAGTGTTTTCGCCCTGCTTATAGACCGTCTTGATCACGGGAGCCTCAGAGGGACTGGGCAGGAGCGCAGCTCGACAATTGGCCGAGAAGGGCGCAAACGTCATCCTCATCTCACGGAGCGCCAGCAAGCTCGAGACTGCCATGGCCGAGGCCAAGGCCGCCGCCCGCAACCCCGAAACTCAAAGGTTCCACTTCATCTCGGCCGACGTTGCGAAACCCGACTACGCCCCTCCCTTGCTCGCCGAAGCCGTAGCCTGGAACAACGGCCAGCCTATTGATATCGTGTGGTGCATAGCAGGCATGTCTGCCCCGGATTTCTGGCTCGAGGTACCCCTATCTCAGACGCGAAGCCAGATGGATATTAACTTCTGGGGAGCGGCCGAGATGGCCCATGCTATACTGAGGCTATGGTGTGCGCCCGACGCGCCGGTCGTGCCGGAACCGAAACACTTAATCTTCACGTCGTCTGTGCTAGCTCTTTTCCCGGTAGTTGGGTACGGGCCGTATACGCCTGCGAAGAGTGCGCTACGTGGATTGGCCGATACCCTGGTACAGGAAGTAGAGGCGTATCCACAGAACGTGAAAGTCCACGTTGTATACCCGGCCTCGATTGGTAGCCCCGGTTTCGAGCGCGAGAACAAGACGAAACCGGGAGTTACAAAGATGCTCGAGGAGGGAGACCCGGTACAGAGTCCTGATGCTGTAGCTTCAGGCGCGATCCGAGGGCTCGAAAAGGGGCAATACTTCATAACAACGGCCTTGTACGGATATGTTTTCAAATGGAGTACATTGGGAGGCTCGCCGAGGAATAATTGGTTTATCGATACAATCATGTGCTGTCTCATGCCACTGGTATGGATATTTGTGCTACCGGACATATTTTCTAAGATCAGGAAATACCGTAAGACGCATGGTCACCCTGCCAGTTATCGAGCCAAAGCCATAGAAGACCATCAGAGCTCTTAGTTTACCTACTAAATAATTATACCCGTGTCCAAGACACAAAAGAATATGCACTAATAGTTTCTATCCTGCCAGTTCTCAGGTGATTGCAAGATTGTTTAATCTTAACATTAAGACGATGTAAATCTCGATTTCTAGATCCAAGATTTTCAAGAGTTTGTCTTTTCCCTTTTTTTTCTCAAAAGAAAAGAAACGAAACGACTGCGGCCTAAATTGCTTAAATCAGATAGCTAAGGTCCTAAGATGTAATTCATTAAATTTTCCCGTCTAATAGAGTGACAGTTCTTGAGCAGTTAGTCCTTTCCGAGAACAGAGGTTGGACATAAATGCTTTGAAGTACCTCCTGAAAAGCCAAAACCGAAGGTATAATTAGTCTAGTGTCTAGTTAATTGTTATATTATTACTCATCCTTCAACGCGCTGTTTACATTATATTCTAGTGTCTTACGGGTCCCGGGATATACCGGAGAGCAAATAGATAAAAATAGTCTCAACTATGATTTCTTCAACCGCTAAGCTTAAACAGACTTCAACCAATATAATATACCACCAGATGGGTAGGTATCTATACGTGACGTACATCATCAATGCTACAGCCAAACGTAGAAGATGTTAAGACAATTCAGTCACCATGAGTGAGTTTATTGATGATGAAAACTTCGTGGATCCTCCGCGACCATGCCAGACTACGGCAAGACAGAGACAACCTCCTCCTTTTCCGGATATTCTCGCAAACAAGAAAAAATACCCTCAACCTAAACTCCGTGCGTTTCCATATAGCACGCATCGAGTCGTGTATGACTAAAACCAACTAGCATGGCAAAAAAGAGAATGTTCCAAATTCCTCTTATAGACATCTTAGAGTTTGACCAATAATTTTGACTCGGGAGGCCACTCCTCCACTTAGAAATTGCCTTGAACATTTTCCTCAATGATGTGAGGATTCAATCGCGCTGAATCCTGCCAGCAGGTCAAATTGAGGAGCACCATCCCCCTGATGCCAACCCGGCTGCTAACCGCTTTGCTGGGCTTGTCTCGCGTCGTTGATGGGGTGGCCATTCTAAGGTGCATCTTGCTCATTCACGACGGATTGGGAAGCTCCATGAGGGCCGGTTTGAGGACCAGCTTGACCAGCCTGGCCAGCTTGGTTCTGCTGCTCACGAACAGCCTCCTCGTACAGGCAAATCTGGTAGGCTAGCTGCTTAGTAGTTGCATCGATCATGATCATAAGCCTGTTTGCGCGATCTGCTCCGCGGACCTGCGCTAATGCTTGCTCTATCGTATAGCGCACAACAGGGTCAGTAGAAGCAGGAATCGAAGCAAAGTTGAACGGGGTCATGGTTGCGGGTGGCGGTGGAGCGGCCATGGGATAGGCGAAGTTGTCACCACCAATCTGACTTCCGTGAGCCTGGGGGTTGCGAGTCTCTACGTATATGGTTAGCCTATCAATACCTGCTTATACGTGTGTTTTGAAATGATTAAGGCGAATGGCATACCGTGAAAGGAGCATCGAGCACCAGAAGCGTTAAACCAGCAATTGGCACAACTACCACACATCTGACCGTCGATAACAACACAGCTAGTCCAGGGACCGTGGCCTTTGTGGCAGTTCTTACATGGCTGGGGTGCCTCCTCACCAGCGATATGTGCGAAGAGAGCCTCGACGTTGCTACGTCGGACTAAGTTCAGTTTTTGACCGGTACGCCGCTGCTGGGCAAGGCGCATGCCAGGGTCGCGGGCTAGTCTCTTTGCCAAAGCGCTCTCAATGTTGATGTTGAGATATCCAGACTGGTGAGCAAGCTCTTCTGTAGTATGAACTCCAGCATCGTCGCCTCCCATAAGATGACCGCTAAGGTCGGGATGCTGATCATTGGGATTCTGAACGCTGTTGGCTAGAATACTAGCTGCGGTGAGTTCCACCTGCTGCTGGTGATGGTGATGCTGCTGAGCAGCGGCGGCGGCAGCAGCGGCAGCAGCAGCCTCAGGATCGAAAGTGGTATCATGATCATTGTCGAAATCGTCATCAGTAGTGACATCCTGTTGCTCAAGGTCAGGGTCCTGATTTGTAAGTCCGTCGGCCGTTCCGATTCGACGATTGACTCTTGCGCGCGGAGCGCCGACCGGCTTGGTGACCTTGCTTGGTCGGCCACCTCGGGATGAATGCATGACGCCTTTCATGGTGGGCCAGGTGATCAAGAAAAAACCGCCTGCTGGCTGACAGTTGGTAATCAGATTGATGATGTCTTATGGAAGAATGATCATTTTTCAGCTGTCGGCAGCTGTGTGAAATGATGTAGGATGAAATAATCTTTCGGAAAAGGCCGTAACTTAATGCTTAGCTCAAACCGTAATTTCGCCGGGCGGTGTGCAAGGTCTACACCTAAATCTAAATCCTAAGGTACGTTATGTAGGTACGTATCTAAGTATATGTGTGTCAGGGAGATCCCCGCATATATCCATGTACCCGATGATAATACTAGTACATATGTACAATATCAAGATTTAGATAGACAACTCCATTGCAATTGCTCAGGTATTCATGTAGGTGATTCACAAACAAATTGGAAATCATACTAGAAATACATAAGTACGTGACCAAGTACGAAGTACGTGCCTTAAAATAGGTATTTAGCTAAAAGTCAGATATGGAAGTGGGCAGGAGTGAAATATCTACCACGCATGGGATGTAGATATTCTAGAAGATGAGCCCCTAATGATGCCAGATCAACTAGACAATCGACCTACAATCCCAAAATCCTAACCCGGCCTGTTACCAAGTATCTTATTAGTCAAATATCTTGGCACGGACATAAATTCACCAAGTGCAACACCCAGAATTTTCAATCATATATCGAAGGACATCACTTTTAACATCATATCAAAGTCTTTTATACTGTACAATTAAATGCCACCTGGTTAACGCGACACGATCTATGGCCACTCAATTCATCGAACGCCAACTGCAAGATAACAGCTCTCAGAGGGTATACAGATTATAATAATGGGATGGGCTTTTATTGATCTTTTTACAGATCCAACCAATTGTTCAGGATCTGCCTTTCCACGCTTTCCCCCCCTTATTGGTATAGCTTCATCAGTCATCCTCTCCTTACTGTGTAAAGAGGCAACTGCCTACGATCCACCTCCCGGCCGGATTTCAACCATCCCACTAAGGCACTCATTACGCCTTAGATTAAAAAAAAAATATGAAAAGCAAAGAAAATGGAAAGGAACCGGCGTAACCGCGAATTCGTTATTAAACAAGGTATGTAATCCGCCGTGACTTTAGATGCAAACGTCCTCCTTCCTGTCACTACTTCCGGATCGTGCGATCAACGGTGTCCTGAATCCTCGCGCAAGGCCGGTAGGGGCCGTACCAAAGAGTATAAAAGGAGTATGTGAGACGAAAACGGGCGCAAAACAAACACACGGAAGGAGATCGTTGGCCAGTTCATGGTGAGGGCGCAGGTCAAGTCGTTAGCCAGATTTATAACATCACTGGCAGCCGTCGAGTATGCGGTACCGTGGGGGTATTGGGTGAGCTGGTGCTCTATAATAGATTTTGTGCTTGTGACACTCTTATTCTCAATCAGATAAGACCGCATAGACGCAGGTTCTCTTGGATGATTATGTCTTAAAATAGGGTTAGCACGGACATTGTCAATTAGCAAGGCAAATTATATTACATACCATTAACCGCAGCCATAACGAAGCGAATTTGCGTCGTATCTGTTGCACATGTAAAATGCGTGTAGATCTGCTTCGTTTCGTGCTGGTTCAAACTGACGAATCGGTTAAGGATGTAGTCGCAAGCGGCAGCATAGTCATCGCCACCTTCGTAGTCGGGGAAGTAGTTCTTCATTGGGCTGACGGGAAGCTTCTCCTTGAATCGGTCGATCTTGTTCAGGAAGAGGATAATAGAGGTCTTAATAAACCATCGGGAGTTGCAGATCGAGTCGAATAGGGTCAAAGCTTCCTGCATACGGTTTACTGTCTCATCTTCGAAGAGTAACTGATCATACTCAGAGATAGCGACCAAGAACAGAATGGTGGTGACGTTCTCGAAGCAGTGAATCCACTTCTTACGTTCTGATCGCTGGCCACCGACGTCGAACATTCGGTAAGTTAGATCGCCAATGATGAAGGTTGTCTCAGTGATACCGGTTGTCTTGACACGAGATCGAAGGACATCCTGATCATTAGGCATGTAGTCAGGTGCAGCAATTCGGGCAATGTTGTCGAAGTAACTGCGATGGTTAGATGGCCCAGGGTTAGAAGATCGAACAGTGATGTACGTACTATCTTGCAGAGTCGTTCAATTGATACTCACGCGACCGCTTGAAACAGTCTTGGACACCACGGTCTTTCCACAGAGTCTCAATTGCGTTGCCAACCTCAGGAGGCAACACGTCACCCTCGATCTGAGCGGGTTGCATGAAGATGGTCTGAACGTGATACTCCATTCGTTGATCTTCTAATGGAAGCTCTAGGGATTCCATGGCCTCGAGAATGACGCGCATGGACTGAACGGTGTTGCTGAAGATAATTTCCTTAAATGACTCTCGCTCGTCGCGCGAGTAACCGCCCTCGTTGATTATCTTCATCTGCTTCAAGATTGTCGACTTTCCAGATTCACCAGCACCTTCGGCTATTAGATCGATTGCCGTGGTTAGGGGGAGAGGTCCTTAGTACTCACCCAGAAGAAGCATCTTGATCTCGTTGCGCTGCATCATCTTATCACGCTTAAGCTGATTCTCAATCTCCTCGTTGCGGGCCTTGCCCTCCTTCTCCTCCGTACTCATTCCGCAACCCATCTTGACTGATTAAAGGAGTCTGGACTAAATGTTATAACGAATGTAAACTCGGCGTCTATCGCGAAAATAATCTACGTCGAGTGATGACTATATTAAAACAAGGGTGTCAGTAGGCAATAATGCTAGAAATAATAGAAGACAACAGTCTAAGTGATGGGACGCTCTCTTCATCCAAGGGCGCAGATAACAAGACCAGCCAACCGCTTGCGCCAGCTTAGACGCAGCTGTAAACTGTCGCTCTGGGTAGATGATTTCGATAGGCACCACTAAATAGACAAGACGACAACATACCGGAAAATGTCAATTGAACTGGCGAAGAGACACACGATAGATAAGAAATGGGGATAAATTCGCCGAAGGAAAGAAACGGCGAATGTGATGAGAAAAGCTGACAGTGGAAAGGAAGAGTGTAAAAAAAAGGGTGGTCGCGAGAGATTGTGACGGGGCGAGATGGATGACCAAGTGGAGCACCTTTGCCTTTGAAAGTGCAGCTTTGGTTTGTTGCCGGACGCTCCCCTGTCCTAAGGAATTGGTTTGAGAAGGGGAAAATACGAAAGGGTGAGAGAATCAATTCGGAAATGGGGTGGTAAAAGTCGTGCCGGGGCTGGCAGCAACTGAGGGGACTATGACCGAATATAGTTAGGTCAATCACAGATTATGCGAGGAACAAAGCCAACGCTAAGCCCAATAGTCTCTAGTTAATGGAAAGCCTGTGGGTATACCTCCTATTGCCCAGCATTGTAGATGGATTACCTAGGTACATCGATGCTCAGTGTTTAATATTGAAAATTTTAACTGTACAAAGAACTTTGGAAATTTTGTCTTATTTATATTTAGTCACTTACTTTTCCGTATATTAAACACTCTCCCGACTTAAGATAATAATAATATCCGTAGGTAGCCAGTAAACTTAAGTCTTGGGTAAAGTTAATACCGCATAAAATATCAATACTCGAGTATATCCTATAACTAGTTATGTACTTTGAAACGTTTACTTACATACCTAAGGTAAGGTTCTGATGCAATTTGCCCACGCCACCGTAGTACATTAAGCATGTACCTGGTTAGTGGATCTGGAATATATTATGTACATGTACGTACATGTGCATACATCATCCACACAGCCATCTATTAGTAAGAAGAAGTACTAAGTACATACGAGTATCAAAGTCACGTCAGCATCAAGTACACTATGTAGGTTACGTACATTGATAGAGACATACATATGATGATGGTGACGATGTATTGATAATTCTAAATGCAGCAACAAAATTACCACAAAAATTACCAGCTGGTCAGATTAGAAAAGTCTTACCCATGGGAGCGGACGCATTTTTATCAGCGCTGGAGATGACCGAAGAACTGGTAACCATACAAACCACAAAAAACACGGGGGAGAACCACTAGTTAGGTACTTCGCATACAGTAGCTGATTGACTGTATAGGTACCTAGATTTACTGTATGATGTATGGATGTTTGGAAATACCTATCAAAGATCGGGGAAAAGCAGCCGCAGTACATATTTAAACATCACACCCAATCATAAAATCTCATCGAGCAGAACTAGAAAATAGTTTCTTGTTCTGTAGTTTTTTTCCTGCCTACATGTAGCGACAAACGAACAAACGAGAGCGGCATATATCAACTACCGCATCCACTAAAAAACAATTGATTCTAGGGCACAGACCAATTAAGTTAATGGCAGATCAATGGTATATGCTTAAATAAGTTAATCGTATAACATCTACTTTTTTCGTAACTTTAAAACTGTAAAATACTACTTAAAAAATTAATTAAATTAATAAAATAACTTTAAATAATCCGTTTAATAAAATTAAAACAATTTATTAATTATATTAATAACAATTATTAACATATTATATAAAATTTTTTATTTATTAAAAATTTAAATATTAATATATTAATTTAAATTAATTTTTTTTAAATATTTTAAAGTTAATTTTAAAATTTAATTATTTTTACTTTTATAATATATATACATTATAATACCGCATATCCCTTTTTTTATATTTAAGTTTAAAAATATTTATAAACAACTTTTAAAAAATTTATTATAATTAAATTATAAAAAAAACGCGTTATTATATTAAATTATATTTATAAACTAAAAAATACGTTTAATTAATAATTAAACGTATATATAATAATTAAAAAAAAATTTATAAAAATAAATAAAAATTATATATAAATAAAATATATAAAAAATAAGAATTAAAAGTTAAAATATTTAATATATTAAATAATTTTTTGGAATTTATTAAATTTAAAAAGATTATTATAAAATATTTTTTTAAAGTTAAAATTTTATTTAATCTTTTGAAAATTTAAAAGTTTAAAAGGAAAAAAGTTTTAATAAATTTAAATTTATTATTTTAAACACATTTAAATTTTTATTTAAATTAATTATAACCGTTTTTTACTTTATAAAAATCTTTTAAAAAAAATGTTTTTTATTTTATTTTTTTAAACGTTTAATTAATTTAACTTTATTTCCATTAATTTTAAATTAACGTTAACAATAAAGTTTTATTAATGTAACCTTTTTTAAAAAACGGTATAAATTACGTAATAACATTAAAGCTTTTTTAATAGTAATTAATATTTTAATATTATTTAATTTATTTAATATTACGTTATATTAAAAGTTTTTAATTAAGTAAAAAATAAACCAATTATTAAAGTATAATAAAAATAAGTTAATTTTTTTAATATAAATTAAATTATTTTTATTTTTAAACAAATGGATAATTATTTTAATATAAATAAAAAAAATTTTAATTAAAATTTTATTATAAAGTTATTTAAAACATTTTTACAATTTTTTAATAACGTAAATAACCATAATTTTTTTATTTATAAAAGTTTATTTTTTAAAAAGTTTATTAATAATTTTTAACTTATTTAAATATAATTTTATTTTTTTTTAAAAAACTTTTTTAAAAGGTTTATTAATAATAACGTTAAAAAATTAAAAATAAAAGGTTAATTTTAACGAAATTATTATTATAACAATATTATTGTTTTTTAATTTTAATTTTAAATTTTTAATTTTATAAAATATAATTACATTTATAATTAATAAAACTTTTTTATTATTAATATATAAAAATAACTTTTTATTAATTTATTATATAAATAAAACCTTGTTATTATACGTTATATTATTAAATTTAATAATAACGTTTAAATAATAAAACTGTTACTTTTTTTTTTTAATAATACTTTTATTATAAAAAATAATTTTAAAACGTAAAAACATTAATTTATTTATAAAAATATATAATATTAAAATAATTTGTTTTTTATTTTAACCATTTTTATTTATTTTTTCAATTATTAATTTAATTTTTTTTAAATTATATATATATTTTTTAAAAAATTTAAACAATAAAAAAGTTTTATTTATATTAAAAATTAATTTGAAAAAAAATCGGCGAAAAGTAAAATTAATAATAAAATTGTTAAATAAAGTTATATTAATAAAATTTATTTTATAAAAAACTTTTTAAATATATTAAAAAAAATTATTCGTATATTTTATTATTTTATTAAAAAATTTAAAAACTATATAAATAATTTAATGTTTTATAATTTAATGTTTTTAAAAAAAAGTTATAAATTAACCGTTTAAAAAAACAAAAATTTAAAAATATTAAAAGTATAAATTTTAAAATAACGTTTAAAATTTCTTTTAAAACCAATATTATATAATTATTTTATAAATTTTATAAACGGTTATAAATTAAACTTATAATTAATTTTTTAATAAAAATTATTATAATAAATATTTTTTAATTATAAGTTTTTTACTTTTAAATAACTTATATTTTTTATTTTACCAATTTAATATAAATTATAAATTTTTTATTAAAAAATATTTTTAAATTTTAATTAAATACAATTATTTAAAACTTTTTTTAATAATAAATATACCATTTAATAAACGTTTTAAATATATATATTCTTTTATTTTATTACTTTTTAATAATATACGATAATTTTTTAAAAATAAAATAATTTTAAGTTTTTATTAATAAAAATAAATACGGTAAATTTAAAAAATTTATTTTAATAATATATAATTATTCCAAATAATAAATTTTCGTTTTTTACTTTAACATATAATAATAATAATAATAAAAATTAATTTTATTTTTAATAAATAAATTAAAATATTTTATATTATTTTATATTATTTATAATAATCCTTATAAAAGGTTGATTTTTTTCGTGAGATTTTCGTAATATTTACTAAAAAAGCCACGGCCGTATATAGTTTAGGTCATACCAAATATAGTACGTGGTCCGTGCCCTAGAATCAATTGTTTCTTAGTGGATGCGGTAGTAGATTACAATGGCATATCAGGATGCTCTGGACGCTCCGGACCCCTGTCCTAACCTGACTGCAGGTCCATCCACTGTCACCCACTATCTGCAGGTCTGTCTAGGTCTTCCAGGCTTCGGAGCGAATAGATTGCCTCCATCTCGAATTGCACACGCATCGACACATCCGTAGGACAATGTATTGTATGCAGCAACAATTCGCCTTACGTGAGCACTGAAACAAACGCGCAGCTAAGACAGGTTTTCGGCCTTTCTAATCGGCCTTGATATACCTAAACTGATAAACTACTAGGAGCTGCATTAGGTAGGTAATGCTTCTAGAAGTATACGAGATAAAAGTCGAGCCGTTTCCCCAGGATCCTCATAAGCAAGCGGGTTGGCTCCACCAGATCGTCGGTTTCGCGCAAAGAAAAAGATGTAAATAGCAACGTGCATAATATGGTCTGACATGTTATGTAGGACAAGCCTTGTCATCTCAATGTGTGATCCATGGGCTGAAACGTGATCAGGTATACGTAAGAGCTAACTCGGAATAAATAGTTGCGTCTTAAGCATCTTTTACATATAGGACTGTTTTATTCCGTATATATATTAAAGTAATGGCTTCATTAATTGCTACCTAGGTTATATCTCTTGAAGATCACCTACCTACGTAACTAACATGTCTAATTCGGACTATCATGCTTGACCCGGTTAGCCTGTCGCCTTGAAATCAATATTTTAAAAGACCCGCCTTAGACCGTGCACAGTATAAAGTGACTACCCTACCAGGTATTGATAACGAAAACCAAGAGTATTCAACATCAACATTAACTTTAAAATCATAATAAAATAAGACAAGGCTTGAATATACAGTTTCAGCAAGTATAGAGGTAGACATAGGTAATAGGTAATATGAGCGTTATAATGTTATAATCTCATTAGAACAACTTAAGATCACCTCCTCCACGATACCACCTATAAAAGGGGCATTATTACGCTTAAGCCCCCTCCAAATAGTAGGATCATTTTAAGTTTCAAAATGCATCACATCTTCCATTCAACCCTCTGAAACTTCTCAAACAACAACAATGATATATATCCAATGCTCATATATCTCGACCTGGTGATATGAACCATGCCGACCACGCGAGAAGTCGATCCATCAGATCAGATAGGTAGATACATAGGTAATAGCCCCCTGACACCAGTCCACATTCGTCCATGGTCCGTCCATGTTGTAAATTTTCCCAAGTTCGCATCAATGAGTTATCACTTCTACGCTAAGATGTACATGGATGATGTATCGGAGTAATGGGAAGATTCGCCCATCCACGACATAGGTATTTCCCCCCCCAAAAGAGGTTTGGTGTACCATGTAAGTTGGTAGGCTGACAAGGCGTAATACCTACCTCTCATTTGTATAATGCATCAATGTCGTCCCAGCTTGTTCGGAACAATTTCCCCTATTCTCAAATAATCTTGGGTGAAGCCCGGACCAGCCATACCAGCCCAGACCTACCTACTCCATTGCCACGAGGTCGCTGGGTTACAATTTGCGCCATTGCGGCTAGATGACGCTATTCTGGCTCAGCGATTTTTTTCGTGTTCAATCCGAGTCTAGGCCGAGACGGAGATTTTGGCTTCATTTTCTTGTACAAGTTTATCCTTGCAAGAGAAACGCGCAGCTTTGTTTTAGATCAAGTTCAGCTCAGCTTAGGTACCTAATATAAACAAAACCTCTATCCGGTCCAAAGTGACTAATAATATGAGGCTTGAGCAAAATTCTACTACGTATATGGATGGTATTACCAGAATTTGCCTCAGCTGAACTTGACCTATGCGCAGCGCATGCGGAAGCATACTTCCAGCATACTTCCAAGCTTCAATGCATCATACAAGGCTGTTCTGATCTCCCAGGTTTGAGAAGGATCATGCCTGAATGCATGAACAAAGAAACCTTCTGGAAGCCAACAGCGTCGAAACATCTATACTGCTTCAACTTTAAGGTTGCATTTCCCTATAAGCTGAGCCACCCCATACTGCCAGGGGCATGCAATCTGTGCCGGATTGATACATTAGATACCTAGTACCGAAGCCTACAATCCTACAGCCATCCTGCAGGAGGTTTAAGCAGTAAATTAGAGAGATGTCTCGTTAATTCGGTAGCGTAACTCGATGATAGGCCGTCTTCTGCATGTAGTCCCCCGAGTAAAGAAAGACTATAGGCCAACTTTCAAATACCAAGAATTACTAGAATATCTACCTATTGCATAGATGTTTTTGTATAGGAGAGGCATGTACCTAATTAAAAGTTGTTTCTTCTATGGCATCCATTTTTTCGAGTCCCGCGAATCAGGTTTTAGGTAAATTTCTAGATGCGTGGCACGCAAAACAAAAAGAAGTCAGCCTTTTCCCAGCCACCAACGGTAACGTAGCCGGCTTGGGAACGGCTGCAGATCGCCGTACGCCCTACTTCGCACTGCTAGCTCAATCAAGCTTTTGTTCGCAAAAAAGTAAAATTACCTGTTGATTATTATCCCTTTTTTTCGACTTGAGGCTCAAGCGCTCGCTGTCGCCGATACGTGCAAGTGCCCCAAGCTTAGACCGCCTATACACGCCGAGCTTCTAATTGCACCGTTCTCCCTCGCTCACCGCGATATACAACTAGCATAATGGCCATTCCCTTAACGCGATTAGGAGGCGGAGGTATGTATACATTGCATAGCTACTACATGAATACCTATGTATACCACCATATCATAGCAATTCTATCCCCTGTCTACCGTCCCAAGTGACGCAACACCCCACGTTAGGCTTCAATCCAATCGTACCTAGGTAGTTTATCAATTCACAAGCTTACATACTACTGGCATTGCCGCTGCAGCCTTCAACCACAGTCCGAGCAATGACGCCGAAGCCGAATATGACCGGCTCCGAGACTTAGCGCGGGCGGAAGCCGCGAAACGGAACAGCTGTTTCGACCGGGTATATATCTACGTTTTATATACCTATACCTATACCTATACCTATACATATTTCATTCCTTACTTCTATATAATGTTCATACCCACCCACACGGTTACCCCTCCTCCTCCTCCCTACCCTAGATATACACATAAGCATCCTACCTTCACCGAGATGACACCGAAGGATTTTACGCGCGCCACACTAACCGCCTACCCCAAATGCACAGGCGCACCAGGCGTACGAGCGCGGCGACGGCGCCGAGGCCAAGGAGCTGAGTAACGAGGGCAAGCGGCACGCCGCTAAGATGGACGAGTACAACCGCCAGGCCAGCGAGTACATCTTCCGGGAGAACAACGCGACGGCCCGCGTCGCCGATGACACCATCGACCTGCACGGCCAGTTCGTCGAGGAGGCGGAGGATATCCTCGAGCGCCGCATCCGTTATGCCCAGAAGCAGGGGCAGACGCATCTTCACGTGTACGTGTGCCTTCTCTTTCCACAAAACCCAACTACTCCCTCTCCTTTCCCCCCTTAAGGAGAGAAAGGAGAAAGAAGAAGTAAAAGTAAAATAGCCCCTAGAATCCAAAGCTAAGAGCCGACACAGCATCGTAGGCAAGGGGAACCACAGCACCGACCACGTGCAGAAGCTCAAGCCCCGCGTGGAGCAGGTGTGCCGCGAGCTGGGGCTGCAGTACGCGACGGAGGACAATACGGGCCGCATCTACGGTACGTAACGCCCCGATCAAGCCGTCGCAAACCCAAACCCAAACTCAAATCCACGGTGCCGATATATGTGTCTAGGTACTTACACAAAAGCAGTCAACCTTCAAGGCGGCGAGGCCGTAATCCCACCGCTCCCCCAACAGCCGCCGGCCCAGCACGGCGAGCACGGGTACGGTGGCGGACAGCCGCAGCATCACCAGGGGGGCCGGCCGCAGCACCACCCCCAGCAGCAGCAGCAGCAGCAGGAACAGGAACAGCCCGACGAGTTGGAGCGGCTGCTGTCGAAGTTTGTGCGCAAGCTGGGAGATTGTTGTGTTGTTATGTGAGGGGTTTAGCAAGTCAAGTTTTGCCGGGAGTTAAGGACCTAGAATCAGGAATAGCGCTTCGGGTGGTATATTCCAGGCAGGCAATTCAGGCACATACCTTAATGTGAAAAGAGGGAGAATGATGCGGGTTTTTGTAGGGGGGGGGTTATTTCAAGGATATTAACGAGCTTCATGAGGGTTCTCTAGGCCTGGTTTATGATTCTATGAATTGCTTCGGTTGCTATAACTATTAGTAGATTATTGATATGTTATGGATAAGATTTCGACGACGATTTTGTTTAAGATTTCTCGAGTACTCGTCATATATTATAGATATGACTTGCTTTTAATTGATCGGTGTATGACAAACTCATCTTTATTTAAATCAGGAAAATTAAACTTAAGTATTAGTAAGGCATTATTTATTTCTCCATGAAAACCTTTATAAATGTTGTTAAAAAAGGTTGGTTATTTTTATGCTTTTTTTATTTATTTTTTTTAAATTAAATATTTACGTTTGTAAAATTTTCCGTTTTAATAAATTTTAAAAATATATATTTATTTAATTTTATATAATATTATAATTATTTATATATTATAAATTATACTTTTAAACTTATATTAATTATTTACATGTTTAACACGTTTATTTAAATTATCGTGTATAAAGTTTATTTTTTTATTTAATTTTAAGTTTAAAAAATTTATAATAATGATTTAATAAAAAAAAAACAAGTTTTACGTTATAAATATCATTTTTTTATAATCATTATTTCGTTATTATTAATTAATTTTTAAAAATAAAAAATAATGTTATTTTAATAATAATAATATTTTAATAATAATAAATTTTAACTTTATTTTTTTACCGTTTATTTAAAAAAGTTAACCGTTTTTTTAACATTTTTACTTTTTTTAATTAATTTATTTATATTAAAATAAACTATTTAAATTATTTTAAATTATTAAAAAAATAAGTTTTTTTATATATAAATTTATTAATTAAATTTTTTTAAATTAAAATATATATATAATTATTAATATATTAATTATTTAAACTTTTTAAAACCTTTTAATTTTTACTCGTTTATTAAATTAATTACGTTAATATTATTAACGTTTTTTTTATTTTTTTTTTCTTTTTTTAAAATATTTTTAATATTAAAAAAATAATTAATAAAAAGATTTTATTTTTAAAGTTTTTAAACTTTAATAATAACTTATTATCGTTTTTATATACGTTTTATAATATTATAAATAAATTTAATAATATTTTTTTTTTTACGGAGATTTTTTTTTCCATAAATATTTTTTTTAATATTATGTTTTTTACGGATATTTTTTTTATTATAAATATTTCCTTTATTATAAATGTTTTTTTTACTTGTAATATTATTATTAAAACTTTAATTAAAACTTTAATTAAAACTTTAATTAAAACTTTAACTTTATAATAATTTACCGCATAAATTATTTATTAAAATATAAACTTATTTAATTAATAATTAATTAATATTACAAATTTTACCATTATTATTTATTTATTCCCATTAAAATAATATTTATTTAATAAAATTTTTAAAAGATTAAAAGTTTTATTAACGTTTATTTATCGTAAATAACGTTTTAAATATAATAAACCCGTTAAATAATTTATTATAAAAATTAAAAATAATTAACGGTTTTTAAATTAAAAAATTTAATTTATTTTTAATTAAATTACGTTTTAAATATTATTATAAATAAAAATTATTTTTTTAAAATAATTTAATATTTAATTTTTTTTTAATTAATTTAATATTTTTATAAATTTTACATTAATACGGTAATTTATATTAATTTTTTAATTTATATAAACATTATAATTTATAAAAAAAAGAAAAATATATTATAATAAATAAATATTTAAAAATTTTATAATAAATATCATTTAACTTTTTAATTGCCGTTATTAAATAAATTATAAATACATTTTTTAATTATTTCCGGTTTATTTAATCGATACGTTATTTAAAATTATTACAAGTAATTATTTATATATAAATTATTTTTATATTAATTATTATAATTTTAAAAATTTAATTAATTAATAATAAATTAAAACGGTTGTTAAAAATAAAACTTTTTAATAATTTATTATTAAATTTAATTAAAAATATTATTTTTATATTAAAGTTAAAATATTTTTTAATATAATAATTTATTTATTTAATACGATATAATAAATAATACTTTTTAAAATATTTTATAATTACCAGTTATTTTTTATTAAATTTATTAATTAATTAATATTAAATATTTTTAAAATTAATTTTATTTTATAAATATATTATATATTTTTAATATAATAATATATTTTTATAAATGTAAAAAAATTTCTTTAAATAATTTATTAAAGTTAAAAATATTATTAAATTAATTAAAACGATTAAAATTTTTAAAAAAATAATATTTTAAAAAATAAAATTATTAATTATAATAATAAATATTTTTTTTATAACTTTAATTTTTACTTTAACGTTTATATTAATAGTTTTATTTATTATTATTTATTTGTAAATAATTTACAATATAACATTTTTATTAATATAAAAAATATAAAATTAAAATTATATAAAAAAATATATTATTTTAATTATATTTTTTTATTATTTATTATAATTAAAAATTATTACATTTAATAATTACATTTTAATTATAACTTTTAATTTATTTAACGTTTAAAATAATTAATTAAATTATTTTATAATTTTATATAATATTAAATTAAATATTATATTAAAAATAAAATTAATAAAAAAACAGTTAATAACATTAAATAAAAATATATAATATTAATTTATTTTATACATATTATTATAATTAAATACGTATAAATAACGTTTTTATATTTTTTTATAATATAAATATATTTAAATTATTACTTTTAATTTATTAAATTTATCGGTAATTTATTTTATAACGTATTTATATTTTTTTTACGTAAATAACATAAAAATGTTTACGTATTTATAAATCTTTACCGTTTACGTTTATAAAGTTTTATATAAACGTTATTAATATTTTTTAATTAAATAAAAAAGTTAAAATATTTTTTTTATAACATTAAAATAATTTACGCCGATGTTATAAATATTAAATATAAAAAAAACTTAATATTTTATTTAATATTATTATTTTTTATTACTTAATAATAAACGTAAATTAATAAATTAATTGTTAATTTATGGTTATAAATAAAAACTTTACCGTTATTACGATTTTTAATAAATTAAAACGTTTATTTACAACCGTTTATTTTTAACGCGTTAATATTTTTTTTTTAAAAACAATTAATTTTTTACGAAAAAGTTTAACGGTTTTTTACTTTTAAAAACTTGGTATAAAAACCACAGTTATAATATATTTTATATTACATAAGTTTTTTATTAATTTGGTTAAATTTAATTATTTTAACGATGTTAAAGTTATTTTTACGAAAAAATTATAACATATATTTATAAATAACATTATATATTATAACGAAAAAACCGCCGGCAAGACCATTTTTTAAAAAGTTTAATATTACCATTTTTACTTATATAAAAAAGCTTATAATTAAAAGCAAGGCTAAATAGGCAGTAAGGGGCGGGCTAGGTAGGCAGTATGCGGGGCTTTCATGTATCGTTAAATACCTCCCCCACCATACAAATTCATTATTGTATACATGTACTTTTATCTCAGTGAACTCAGACCAGTGACGCGAACTTCGTTGTACCCCTCCCGCCACACCTTTTTTTAACCAATCACATCCCCAACCTACCCCCCCCACGAATTTCGCATCTCTGGTCTGAGGCAACTCGGGCGATTTTTGCCACATCAAATTATTCAGTATTAAAAACAATATTAAAAACAACAGTATTAACGCGTTGAAAGTAAGTCTCAATTGATCTGAAACATTTACTAACCTTATCATTAGTAAATATACGCGTTTTGAATGTTTCCGGGTGTTGAAAGTAGCTCGTATTAGCCGCAACACCGGTCGCAACACCGGTCGCAACGTTTTTGGGAATATACCACGTCAAAGCCTATAACATTACAACGCAATGCCGTACGGGCATGCAAAATAGCTAGAAAGCTTAAGCAATTGAATTGGAAGCTTTAAGTTATAAAAATAGAAGGTATTTCAGACGTGGTTGTGGGTGCAAGCGCGCGGATGTAGATGTTGGTACACTATTTTTGGTATTATTACGTGTTTTTAGACGTCGAGGCCTGCGATATTACAACGCGATGCCGTATAAATATGAAAAAAAGATAGGAAGGTAGAGAAAGCATAGTACTAGCCCCGAGTCATAAAAATAGAAGCTATTTTGTACGTTGTTGTTGGATATTAAGTCATCGTAAATATGAGGTTTAATTTTTAAAAGGACCTGTTTTGACGTGGCCAAAAACGCCCGAGTTGTCTCAGACCAGAATTCGTTGAAACTCGCACCCATAACCCACAGATACAATTACACGGACCAGGCGTTCTGTGGCGCCTGTGGCGCAATCGGGCGTAAGCCCGATTTTCAACGAATCTAGTCTGAGCTACTGAGATAAATGTACTTTTGGAATAGTCCCAACTTCCCAAACTTTCTAAGATGCACGCCCTGTCATTGGCTAAATTCTTCACCGCCCACCCGGCAATATCCTTATCCTTATCCTTATCCTTATCCTTATCCTTATCCTTATCCTTATCCTTACACCACATCTCTGATACAGCCTCATGTTACACTGATTGAATTCAATCAATTTAACAACGATGCAAGGCCTGTATGTCTTTATTCAATTACTTTTACTCGGTCGCATACATCGGTTAAAAACTATACGATCGCATGCAGTCATTCCGAGGCAAAAAGGCTGGAAACGAGGTCTTTTTAAATGATCTCTGATATGTATGTATGTATGTATGTATGAGGCTGGCTGGCTGGCCAATCAAAAGGCCGTATTATGCGAGGCTATCTGATTAAATATAAGGCTGGCCAATAAAAAGGCGCGCATATTAGATAGATTGGTAAATTTGGAAGGTTTAGCAGATTTGGCAGGGTTATCATAAAAGATACGGGCGGGGACAGGTAAATTTGTATGGGAATACATGTAGTACTTGTGCAATACTTGCCAACCCCGTTATTTATGCAATTATGGCGCATATACTGCCTACCTAGCCCGCCCCTTACTGCCTATTTAGCCTTGCTCATAATTAAACTTAAAAAAAAAGCTTTTTATTAAAAAAATAAAACTTTATAAAATATAATATATATTATTTAATTATTTAATTATATAATTATAAACGCTAGTTTTTTTTATTAGTTTTTTAAAAAAATAAGGCTAAAATTTACTATTATTAAAATACCATTACTATTAAAATAATATTACTTAAAATAAAAGACATCCAGCAGTAAATGCTATTGAAAGCATATTACCAAAGGCACCTTAACTATAGAAGAGTACTTATACAAGATTTGATATTACTACATTAAGTAACCTAATTTTTATCGTTCGTCTCCCAATTCGCAATATTCTCCCTGTACTCTGTCATCTCTCTCCACTTTCGCGCGAAATCCCGCATGCCGCCCTCTCCGGCCAAGCTTGCGTCTACGACATCCTTCGGCAGTTTGTGCGCCGAGTACTGCGGCGAGCTGAAGTTGAACGCGGCAGGGTCCTCCTTCTCGATAAGTCGTAGCTCTGGTACGAAGTCGTCTTCGTCGTCATCCCCCGACGTCTCGTCCGTATCTTCTGCCTCTGCTTCTTCGGTCCCCCCGACTACTCCAAGCATTGGGCTAGGCACCTCCATATCCAATAACTCCTTCCAATCGAAGAGTAGGCTGTCTGTGTGTGGAGCCCAGGCGTTAATATCGATAAGTCGCGCCCTACTTAGTGGCTCATCCTCGCCTTCTGGGATGTACACATCGAACGTGAAGTTGCCGTCCGGAAACGTGTACCGTAGTTTGTGGTTGAACAACTGGCTGATCCGTCCAACGATGTCGGGTCGTAACGACTTCAGGAACTCGTAGAAGTGTAAGTCGCGTTGTGAGATTGCTATCAGGTTCCTATGTTTCACAAAACAGCGGAATTCCATGGCTGTGTGAGGATTGAAGTATGAGCGTAGCACGAGCACAGGCTTGAAAGCTGGCGTGTTTCCCGTAGAAGTATTGCTTGTAGGTGTGCAGTCGTCAAAAGCGTGCTCCAAGTCGTAAGTGATAAAATTCGAACTCTTCAATAGTAAATATATGTCGTTAGGACTTGTACACTTGATAGTGTTCTGGTGGGGTGATATCCAAGCCGCATCTTTTGGTGCGGTCCAATTCAATTTCGGTGCTACCGCGCCGCCTAGTTCTGCGATCTTGTCTTTGATCACTTGGTGCAACTCAGGAAACCTCTGATTCGGTGGCAATCTGGGTTCCTCGTCTTCATCCTCATCGCTATCAGAGTCGGAGTCAACTTCCTCAACGGGTGGCCGGAAGCTTGAGGGTGCCGATTCCCATTCGTCGTCCTCTGGCCCAGCCCCGTCATCATCGGCGAGGATAATACCGTCCTCGCGGATATACTCTATAAATTCGGATGAGAGGGGTATGATACGCGATTTGATGCATGACATGCGATATCTACTGGGTTGTAAGTTATATATTCGTGAAGTGGTAATTTAACAATACTATCTAGGTACTCACTTGGAAAACCAAGAATCATACGAACAGTTGATTATATGATCTCTTGTAATGGGTGGGAACTGCAGCGCCGAGCTTGCAGTTCCCGAGGAAGAATGTGCCGTAGTAGGTGCAGGCATAGTTTATGTTTTTGAAATAAAGTCCTTGAAGATATTGCTTTGGTTGGATTTGTAAACTTTGGAAGATGGACGAAATTTTAGTAGGAAAATGATGTCAATTATAAATAAAATGTACCTGAGTATTTATATCTTTAAGCTCATGGTTGATTTGACAGTTGCTTTGCGACGACTCATACTACCTAATGCATGTTAGACTCATACTTATGGCGGGGCACCACCGTATAGCGGGGACAAAGTTGCGACCCTCAGGGTAGCTCTTATGGAACTTAGATCGTAAATGAACCCCACCATTCCGTTTCCGCCACTCTTTACCGCCTTCCTTCCTCTAGCTCACAAAGCTACATCTAGGTACCTTAGGTACATAAGGTATTCACCTTCAATTAACTACATCATCTCCATTTGTGCCCATACTACATTTTAACACGCCAGCGGAAATCATGTCTGATAATGTTGGACTATCGACACCCCGAGGAAGTGGGACATCTGGATATGTCCAACGAAACCTAGCACACCTCAAGCCGCGCGATCGAGCAGCCCCCTACAACACCAAAGACCTCGATAGCTTCAAGCATCGGCAACGTCAACCGGACAAGGAGATCCTAGAGCACGATCGTAAGCGCGAAGTCGAAGTAAAGGTCTTCGAATTACGCGACCAGCTAGAAGACGAAGAGTATGTTTGATCAGTTGCGCGTCCAGTTTGCCTTTGAGCTGCTACCTGACTAATGCGGTATATGTAGAGTTGACGAGGATGAGATTGATAAACGCTGCGACGCCTTACGAAAAGAACTGCAAGCAAAGATGAACAAGGGCGATAGGGGCGCGGCACCGAGGAAGCCACTAAAGGCACATCAAGTTCACGAACTAGCCGACGCGAAGATCAAGGAGAGCGAGCGGTTACGAAATGCGTTGAAGATAAGCAAGGACTACGAGGAGGGAAGCCACTGGAAGCGGCAAGAGGAAAGGCTAAGGAAAGCCGCGGAAAGGGACCCCTCTACTCAGAACAACAGAGATTAGAATATTTGGACTTGGATAATTAGTGTTGCTCTACACTCCATTGGGTTGCGCAAAGGCGTTTGGGGCGGCTGAGGTTTATTAATAGGTCTCGGGAGTTTATGATTTATGTATGATTTCATGTTGTTTAAGGAATTGCTGTACAAATATTCCGTAATTCGCGAAAACAGGTCGAGAGAAAGTCATTTTTCTTTTGTCATCGCTGTCTATTCTATTCCCACGGGTATCAAGGTTTAATTTGCCGCCAGAATTTCCGCCGCGTCGAAAGGGGGAGCGTGATCTTCCCTTCCTAGACTATTCTTGAGTCTTTCAGTACGCCGAGCCTTTTCCTCTGCTTCCTTCCGCCTCTCATGCTTGACATATGTTGCGTATCGCAGAGTCCCTAGAGTTAACACCGCCATGAAAATTATACCCAAAACGGATCGACGAATTAGCACCCAGCGTAGACCCTCAATGTCCGATCTGGAATCGCTGTTGAGAGTCACGCTAATTTTCAGGTTGAGTTGTTGGATCTTTAGAAGACGATGATTAGCAGGTGTAGCGGTGAGTTCTGGATAGCGGAAGACAAACTACGCTCTCCATCGTCCTCTGCTCTTCTCTCACGTTCATCCGGCGGTCGTTGAACATGCCCTTAACATCATCCTTTAGTGTCATAAGATCCTGAGTCATCCGCTGGCTCAAAATATCAACTTCGTGCTGTAACTGGGTTCGCTGCTGACGTGTTGTCTCGTCGGCAGCCCTCTTGTTGTTCTTTACCTCAGCACTGAGTTCCGAGCATGCAGCGCGAAACAAATACGTCTCCTATACAAGTCTATTAGCAGCCAATGTGAGATCGAGTTAGAGACTTGCGCCTACATTGTCTACGTCGCTTTTGCTCACTAATCCTTCTTGGGCGACATCTAGATTCTGAGCTAGTAGTCCTCTAATAGCTTTCATGACTGTAGTAGCTTGCGCCCTGCTATACCCACCTTCCTCCAACTCCTTCACAAGGCTGTAGGTGTCGAAATGGTGAACGTAAGGAGATGCTGATAGATGGGGATGGTGATATGTTTCGGGCGGTGGCATATGTAACACTGCTTCCATCGGACCGCTTTCTTGCATCTTGGCTTCTGTCGCAGCTTGCTGAGGACTCGAAGACGAGGAGCCGGAGACTGCAGACGCCCCTGGTGGAGGAACCTCGGCATTGTCTGATTCTTTTGTTACTTTATCCTCTGGAGCTTGAGGTTCTTGCGCCGCTTCCTTTCCCTTGTTTGCACCATCCTTGCTAGACGGCTCCGCGTTCGAGAAGCTCGATAGTTTCGCGGGATCCGCGCCTGGCGCCGGGAGGTTTACAACGTCGGGCGTAACAGGCAACGGCTCGACGGCTTTACCATGCCTCTCGAAGACAGCCTGTCTCGACGGAGTGGAAGATGAGAATGCCACCATACGCGGGTTATTATTCGGAGACTTGCGACATCGGATCTTCGCTCCGTGAGCTGAAGACTCGCCGAAGCGGGCTACCCGAAATAAATGCGGGTAGAGGAACGGTAACCGAACGGTCGACATGGTTCCTGGCTATGGGTAGATAGTTGAGAAGTAATTGTGCAAAAGAAACATATTGTCGGCGGACTAAAGGAGGTTGAGGAGAACAACTGCAAGTAACACAAATTAAGCTTGAACAAGAAAGGTCGGTTCTACGTGGAACCGTTAAAGCCTGTGATCTGGATTGGATCTCTTCGGGGGTACCTGATAATTCTCTAGTTGGGCCGAGCTGTGCGGGCAGGCGGGCAGGCGGGCTGGTATAGTGGATCTATAGGTATAACTGTGAAACGGTAAATTTCGAGCCCGTTGTTCCGTAGTGTATGCCCTATGTACATCCATACGGGCTATGCCGGCTAGTCGATCTGTACAAAGTACATATGTATCTATCTAGGTACATAGGTACCTACGTACATGTAGCTTCGTTACATGCCGTTACCAGATTGCTAGAGTGGGGACGAAGTTGGGATTGGGAAGGCAAGGAAGGCAGGGGTTTCGCTCGTCACCCCGCAACCCGACGGTGAAAACAACGCAGGGCCAGCTGAAGGTGGATAATTTACATAGTTATCTGCAGTGCCATGTCACTAAAGCCATCCAACCTCTCAAGATGTCTCTTTTTTCGTGATTAGGTACCTAGGTTTACTTTTACAGAGAGCAACATTTTCCCTTTCCTTTTAAATTTATTATTATTATTTTTTGGCTTGAGGTGCTTTTCCGGCCTACGACACAACGTATGAGAAGGATAGGACTAATTTTTAGCTATTCATACCGCTATAACTCACCGCTTCATACCCAAGTTCGAACATATCTGTTCCGACATTCTGGGTAGTTGATAACCATACATTCCGAAGTCCTTAAGAACCTAGCATTCCGCATTCCTACCGATTTTCCCTCGTGGTGTTTCTAGGTTCGTTAACCGAACTGTTCGTCGACGAGCATTTCCGCGGCCATGGCGTCGGCCGATGCGCTATCGGCGCCCGGGTCGGCGACCTATGCGTCGGACACGATGGTGGTAGGAGACGGGACTTGGGACTTCACCAAGAATACTTTCCTGCTGCCGAACCTGGCCGGGCTAAACTTCGAAACTATGCGATTCAATGGTAAGCCGATACTCCTCACTATCGTACTATCTATCAAAATCTGAACTTCTGCTAGGCATGGGCAACCGTTTTGCAACAGTAGAACAATACCACCAATTGGTAACAGGCCATGGTATTCTTGCCGTTATAACGTTCCTCTTCATAGTGCCGGCTGCGGTTATGTACGCGCGATTTAGGCCCTATGGCTCTCTTATTCGGCTACACGCATATTTAAATATTCTTGCTGTCGGTCTCAGTACGGTCGTATTCGTTCTCGGGTGGTTTGCCGTGGGCCCGAGTCGAAGCTTAACGAATCCCCATCATGGAATTGGACTTGCCATATATGTCATGATTCTGGTTCAAATCATCGGGGGCCGCATAGTGAAGAATATTCGAAGAAAGTCGTTTAGACTCATGCTTCATCGCTGGCTAGGTCGAGCGATTGCAATCCTGGGAATCGTTCAAGTTCCCCTTGGACTTACGCTTTATGGGTCTCCCTTATTTACCTTCGTTCTATATGCCGTGTGGATGGCGTTCTTATTCCTGACATACTTCATCCTCAGTTGGCGGCACGAAAGCAACCGCGATCGGGATGACCTGATGATTCATGGTGGGCGTTCTGAAGGTGGGATTACAGAATCAGAACGCAAGTCTGGACGAGGGATGGGATGGTTGGGCCCGCTAGCCGCAGGAGCTGGCCTTTGGGCACTTTTGCGAGGGAGAAAGAATCATGAAATAGACGAAGAACGAAGTACCAGCATATCGCAGCCACGAAGTCGTCCACCCGAGGTGATCCCATCTCAGAGAGGCTCTGCGAGCTACTTCGAAGATGAAAAGGTCTCTGATAGGTCCGATCGCCGTGAAGGAGGTATATCAAATTGGTTAATTGGCTTAGCTGGGCTTCTCGGGGCTGGAGCGCTGGTTAAAGGTGCTCGAGATAAAAGAGAAAAGCGAAGATACGGCGACGAAGAATATTCTGCGGTTGCGACCGACACGCCCAGTCGATTTAGCCGTCCAAGCCGGGTCCGGAAGAGTGCTACTGACGGGTATACCGAGAGTGAATTTAGCGAGGATCGGACAGAGCTCCACGCCCGCCCAAGACCGCACACCCCACTCCTACCTGGCCCTGGTCATCCTGCCGCTACTACGGTTCTAAGTGGTGGTACCGAGCCTATGACACCGCGCGCATCTCATCCTCGACCACCGATTACAGAGAGCAGTTACATTTCAGACTATTCGTCATACGTGAGTCCGTCAAGGCGACCTGTTGATGATGAGGAGAGTAAAGCAGGGAAAGGCATTCTTGCTGCCATCGGATTAGGTTGGTTAGCCAAGAAGATGAGGGGAGATGGCCAAACGGACGAGGAACGACGGAAAATGGAGGACGAGAGACGGGACGGGCATCGCGGGTCAAAATACACAGGCGATGGATACAGTACTCCAACAAAATCAACACGACGCCGGGTACCACCTACCGCTCCAACCGCCACAACCTTGACATACGACACAGAATCGTCAATGTTTGAAGATCGTCCTCCGGGAACAAGTGTTAGCGGACCACCAATGCCACCTTTTGGTGCTCGAGGTGGTCCACCTCCAGTACCAGTACCAGTGCCAGTGCCAGTTTCTGTTCCCGGCTCCCATTCGAATTCGCACTCGCACTCACACTCGCATTCGCACTCCCGGTCAAGGTCGAGATCCAAGAGTGTTATTACTGACCCGGTTTCGATGCCGTCAATGCCACCAGACCCTCACGGACTTCTTCATCCCCTGCATCCAGGATCAGGCACCGAGTCTTTCTCATCTGCTGGAAATGGGACACATAGACGGGATGAATCCCGTCGTCGTAGAGATGCCGAAGAAGCTGCTATGGCGGCTGCTGCTAGCGCTGCGGGTCTCGCCGCAGAGGAAGAAGATCGTCATCGAAGGGATCGTAGCCAGGTTTCCAGCCAGCCAGTAAGCGTGAAGGTGAAATATCACGATGATCGGGATCGGAACATCACATTACGACGTATTACACAGGAAGAAGCGGCGGCGCAAAACCGACGTAGCCACAGGGGTAGATCGGATTCCATTAGTACTTTCTCGGAAAGCGAAGCGCCTCCCAGCCGTCAACGATACCGACGCGATTCTAGCTCGCGCAGAACCGCAGAAGAAGCCGCAGCGGAGGGGTTGGTTTCCGAATCAATGTCGCCACCAACGCCTGTTTTTGCTGGAGGAAGACGAGGGGGGAAAGATTCGGCCTATTACTCTGGCCAGCCAGGTCCTTCTGGCGGACCACCCCCAGCTGCACCGACCGTTTCGAGTTTGGAGACTCCGGCGGCAAGTCGTGCGACGTGGAGTGCAATAACCCCTTCTCCAGCAGGCCCATCAGGTTCAATAGCTCCATCAGCTGCAGATCGAAGACGAAGAAGACGCCAAGAGCGAAGAGACCAGAGACCTACGGATACCGTTGAATTTGACTAGCATCCTGGCGGTTCTTTATGGTCTCCTTCTTACACTCATTGTTCGGAGTTTTGGCGTCTACTTTGATGATTCAACTGGTCTATGAAGATGCATGTATTTCAAGGGGCAGCATATAATGCCAGGTTTATGCCCTTAAAAGATAATGACGTTTAGAGAGAATTAGGGCTCATGATAGTGTGGGTGATGTTTTGCATGATATCCCACGATATCCGATCCATTGTTTCTATTTTATGTGTTAGTGTACTGTACTGTAGTGGACGAACCTTACAGAATGACAATATGTATGACCCCGAATAGAATGAAATGGACTCCCATCATTTATGATCTTTTTTGACATGCAAATTTGGGATTAAAATTTAGACGTAAAGGTTAACGATTCCGCGAGGGCAATTCATAAGAGCATTGTACCTAAAACGTAGTCGATTAGGTACACGTGCGGTCGCGACGTATCGATAAGCTACCGCAACCCAAAATCGCGGTTCACAAGATGGAATCGCGCGTATCTAATCAGTATTATCAAACTTATCATCATATTTAATTATTTTCATGTGATCCAATCCCCATCCTCCACACCTGCATAAGGACTAGTCCTATACCATTATACGCCAACGTACCACTCTATAGGCTGACCAGCAGACAAATTGTCTCTCCAACTAAGCTATAACCAACCGCAATGGCAGCAGTAGCAAGCGGGCAAGAAACAACAGCAGCTTCTCAGCAGGCGCCGACATCCCCCCCGCTGCCGGCGAGACACACGGCGCTGACTCCGGGGCCGCGGGCGTCGCGGTTCCAACAGGTGCTGGACTCGAGCTTGTCGCACACGCTGTCCAAGATCAGCTGGGACAACTTTGCAGCATGCTACCCGACCATCGCCGCGCAGGCGCCTGCCGTGCTGCGCGCCGTCCAGAAGCAGATGGTGGACCGCTTGGGTGCGCTGTGCAAGGTGAGTCGCAGCGATTTGTTTACTGTCGTCGTATCGTAGTATTAGGGATAGGGGGGTGTATATATATATTTATTTATTTTCTGTTTGCATGCGCTTTCTAAATTATTTCTTGTACGAGAGACGGAAAGCAAGAAAGAAAGAAAGAGAGAGAGAAGAAAAGTCGTGCGAATATATGCTTACATCTAGGTCCCAACAGAAAGAATTCGATTCCGTGCTGCAGGGCCGCAACGTGGTGGCCAAGCTTAACGAGCTCGAGAGCCTGGTTAGCGAGGCCGAGCGCAGGAGGGATGACGCCGGCGTGGTTGGGTCGGAGGCGCCTGTTCCGTAAGTGGATATTCTACTTTCTCTTTTGTTGCGCATATAAGTCGCAATTAGACCTTCTTCTTTCACGTACGACCATAGGATCTGGAAAACTCGGGATCCCGTCCGCTCTCCCATAGATAAGCCAGATACCGCCAGATTAGTAGTTGGGTCGGTGACGACCAGCGAATCCCTGGTGTTGTACGTTTTATTTTTTATTTTTCGTTTTTTCTTTTATGTAATAGTCTCTACGTATTGGTTTATTTTTTTATTTTTTCTTCTTTTTTCTTTTAAACAAGTGGCAAAAACCAGCTAACTCAGAAAGACCGCATATGCTACCTCCGGACCAGATTCTAGCAGCACATCTAGCGCCGCATCTGGCGCAGCAACAATCGCAACTTAACGCAAAATTGCAAACAGTACAAGCGCATAACGCAAAGCTGTTCAGCGATATCCAAAAGCAGCGCGCCGAGATGCAGTCTCTCATGGCGCTCTTACAGAAGGTCTTCGAGGACATCGACGGTGCTAACAGCCAGATGGATGATGTTGTGGATGACCTTGCCAAAGAGACGAGGACGGTGGAATCCGAGATGGCCGAGCCGTGAAAAGCATTACTATTCACCCGTAAATTTTTATTAATTCTAGTGTTGGTACGGAATACAGGCTCTTACATTCCGAGTCTACAAGTCCTGAGGGATGGGAAGATGATGCATAGACATGGTGTTCCGGCGTATAGGGCGACTGGTTTATACCGGCTCGAATCAACTTGATCTTTGGGTCCTTCATACATAATCGCTATATGTACATAAGATATCATTTTACAATTAGTAGCAGCAAATTCAGCATACTTTTCATATTTGCGGACCTATATACTTCGTATTAGAGCTGATATCATGATCTCATTTCTTGTAATTGCATCTATGTTCTGAGGAAATAGGATATCACTACTAGAGGCAAGGCTCTCCAAGTCGACAAAAATGCCTTAGTAAAAAATAAGTATCTGTCTTGTTTACTTCATATAAGGTACGTAGGTATATATTGCATAAAAAAAGCAACAGCGTGCAGCTCAATAAGCGTCTTGTTGTTACACCAAGAGTCTATACAAATAGCCGAATTTGACTCCCCTTAACTGGAACCCCCACGAAGTTAATAAGTTCTGCATTGAAAAAGAACCGGTGGCAGAAAACAAAAACAAGGCCAATCTACATGCATCCACGACATTGCGTTCCGATATGACAAAATAGATGCGGTTGGAGGCGTATATGCGCTCGAGGGACAAAGCAGGGCAGCTAACTAAGGATCTGCGTAATTTCGGCAACCTGCGTATTGCCGCATGCAACAAGACGGGAAAAGCGAGTGGGCATGGGTATCGAAGCTACACGTATCTATCTAGCTGATCTAGATCTTACATTCTAACAACCTCCTTCGAGATTATCCGCCTATCACGGCTCGGGAGGCTACCCGTTGAATTGGCCATTGTGAAACAGCGTTTGAAATTGAATGAGAATTATATGAATATTGAGATCAGATAACTTTTTATTGACAGGTACCTTTTACCCATCTTTCAGAAAACAATACAATGACGTAACTCGTCTTAACAGAAACTTCTTAGCTTGTAGATACATATTCGGTACCGACACATAGCTATGAAGGACGCAAGATCAAGACCGCCATTAACACCAGTCGTCCAGTCATAGCATTACACTAGGTAGTACACAGTCTTTTTTTCAAGAAAAAAAAAAGGTCTTTTCACTTTGCCCCTATTGTACAACTGTACAAATCTGGCCCCTTGAATTTCCCAATATCACCCATTCACTCCTCCCATGCAGATGAATGCCAACTTTTCCAGCCTTCCATCAATGTACAAACCCCCTCTCCAAGCAGAAGAGGGAATAATTAGCTAACAGGATGACGGTGCAATGATATATGCGTGCTCAAATTAAAACCAACTCGAATACGCCTCCGAGAGACGCCCGTGTAGGCTCGAGTCCAAGTCATAAACCACCCCACCTCTAAACTCCAAAATCCTGCGTCTAACGCTTTTCCAAGGCATGGCAGCGACGACTTCCGGTTCCTTAGGAGTTCCGAGTCCACATACACACTTTGCCTACTTAAAGTTCGTAAGACCTCGTACCGTAATACTAGGACTCTCACGCGTTCGTAGCTTGAGAGGCACCTCGGCCTCGAGGCGCACCGCCGCCACCCCTACCACGACCCTGTCCTCCAAAGTTGCCTCGTCCACCCTGACTGCCAGACCGCCCTTCGAATCCTCCGCGTCCTCCCGGGCGATTCTGTAAGTTTCCCCGCCCTGAATTGTAGTTGCTGCCACCATAAGCGCCTGCTTTGGGACGGCGGGGCTCCACAACGATACTCTCTCCATCAATCACATGCGGGTTCGCAGCTACAGCAGCTTGATACCCTGCGTGCGTGGCGAATTCGACAAAGGCACAATTCTGCAAAATATTAGACTATATACCATAATTGAACATGCCATGGTGGCTTACCTTCTGGCGATTGATGTCGAAGTAGACCAAGTCGCCATGCTGTGCCAATGATGCCCTTAATTCGTCCTTATTTACCTTCTCCGTGACGTACTTGACATATCCCATGGTGCCATCCTTGTCGGTCTGGGGGCCGGAAATTGACTGGGGTTTATTCTGTCGCTTCGAGTCGCCGCCAGCTGTCTGCCACTCCGTAGATGTCTCTTTGGCAGGCGTAGCCGGGGTTGCGGTCTCAGAGCTTTGGGACGGAGCGGGTGCTTGGGCTGTTGCCGACTGGGTGGGTGCTGCCGGGCGCGATTGCGGCGCTGTTGCAGGGGCTGCAGGGGCTGCCGGCTTCGTCGGAAGGGGCACTACAGGTCGGGGACCCGCACCGGCAGCTACTCGGCTGGCCCAAGTCATGGGCTTGGGTGGTTGAGCCGGAACCGGAGCCGCAGGTGCTGCTGTAGTGTTTGCGAGGGGTTGGCGTACTTGAACAGGGGTCGGGCTTCGGTCGGCAGGCTTCTCTGGCTCCTTAATGTCTTCTTCCACAATCTCTTGTGTCGTCTCTTCGGGATCAGGTGCATCCTTGGCTTCCGGCTCCTCGGCGGGCTCTGGGGCCGCTGGCGTTTCACTGGCGGCCGTCTCGGCTACTACGTCACCGTTGGTCGGAGTGCTGTCTTCGGGAGTCGCGCTCATATCCTCCAATTTCTTGCCGGCAACGCCCGCATCGAATGACGCAGGCTCCTCGGTAGGTGCCGCGGGCTGTGTTTCTGGCTCCTCCTTGGGTGCCGGGGCAGCCTGGGTCACAGGCTCTATTAGCTCCTCCTGGGCAGTCTCAGCCGGCTCCTCGTCACCTTCCTCGTCTATGTATCGAAGAATATCGTTCAAAACGAAGTATCCCGACGGCTGCTGAGCAAGGACGAAAGTCTGAACGAACTTCTTGGGGTCGCCAGCTTTGTTGGAAGTCTCACCAATCACCTGAATGACGATATTGTCGTACGAGGCCTGAGAGTCGACGTTGGAGACACGGACCTTGCAGTCTTGGAAATCTAGCTGCTTGATGCGCTCCTGGATGTTCTATGGAAGCGCGTTAGTACGGAACAAAATTAGTAGGCACGCCGTAGCTATTGGGGAAACATACCGGTCTACCGACAGAAACGTTGGCGATCTCAGCCTCTAGACCATAGACGAACTGAGAGCGCTTTGAATAGAATAGCTAGGTAGATAATTAGTAAACCTCGTTCTAATAAATGTAGCAAGCGTTCGGGACTTACGTGAAGCTTCTCCGGATTTTTGCTGAGGGTAGTGTAGTACTGCTCGACGAAAAACCAGGCGACCTCATCCTTTCCAAGATTGTTATTGGAGCTAGTGGTACTTGTTTGGTCGGCAGAAGGAACAACGCCTCCGGAAGTTGTGGCAGTAGGACCTCCCGAGAATTGGTCGGTATGGGTGACGTTGCCGTTTGTCGCCATGGTTGCGCTAGGTTATGAAGAAATTTGCGCGCCTGGTTGGGTAGAAGCGATCTTATCGACAAGGTCAAGAAGAGGGGTGCTCAATAATGAAAAAGCTGCCTCTTATTAGAGATGCTGCTAATTCTACGAGCGACTTATACGGTTAAGCGGAACCCGAAAACTTTGTACCTGCTTCAGTGGCGCGATAGAAAATTTCGGGACGAAACGTTGTGTCTCGCAAGGGACAAAGCTGGAAACAGTCCGGATTAGGTGGGAGGAGGAATCGAACTAAATCGATAGTGTCAGGTGAAGGTAGAGGGGAGAGGTGGTTTTTTTTTTTTTTTTTGGTTTTTGGTTATTTTGGTTTGAATGTGAATGGCGGGGAGGGAAGGGTGTTCGTCAGTACCTAGGTAAGGAGAGATTTGTAAAAGTGTATGTAGAAGTGGGTGATGGATAAAATGGAGGAAGGTTTATTAGAGTTGTGGTGGAGAAATGTTTGTTGGATGCGATTGTGATTTGGAGATTTGTTTAGACGGGTTCGGAGAAGGTAGGTACGAAGTGGGTAGTAGACAGTGGGCGGGCGGCGGGCAGCACCTGCAATAATTTATATAATGTTATTTATGTACCTACCTCCTTCTGCACGCACCTCTGTAGGACACAGCGGCGCGCTAACGTAATCAGGTATCGAGACGGACTAAGACGGGCGGGGAGAAAGATCTAGGTCCGCGCGGGAAAGGACGAGGGAGGATGACGATGACGAATATGACGAGATATGATATGAACAGCGTTAAGAAGTTTTGCAGAATAGAAGAAAGCTTGGGTGGCGACGGAATAATTTCTGTTAGGTACGTAGACTTTAGAAATAGTAAGGTATGGAGTCTAGTGGTTTAGGTCGAACTACTTGGCTGGACTTGGACCGGACGGACTGGAACGCCAAAATTTATTTTTTATTTTCTGTTTCTGCCGTGGGCTTGCGTGGGTGGGTACCTAGGTACCTAGATAGGTATTCTTCACAGTTCGTGAGAGAATGGGCTCCATCTAATTGGAAAACTGCCAAACAATTGGAGGTTGCAACACCGTGCCGGATATTTATCGGTCTTTCCTTTTGCCCGACTTTTAGGAGGGTTATTGTGCCAGGCCAAGTTAAGGATATTTCCTAATTAGGCAATTCGTCTGTGCACCCACTAGTGCCTTTTAATTGTGGGTCCCAGGTATTGTAATAGGCTAAA